ATTAATTGTATAACCGAACCACAGATGGTAATAAATCTATATATATATAACTCCAATGTTTACTTTTAAAAACCATTTTCCTTTCATGTTGATTATTTTGAGAGAACCAAGATGTTGCTTCATTTATCTATGCTGCTGACCACCACAAATAAAACTTCAAACGTATAAATGGACCTTTCTAAGGACCCCTTTCCCCCCATGTAGTCATTTGTTTATATTGTCTTGACTAGATTTTTACAAACATGTTCTGGATAGAAACAAACTTAAGAGAGTCTAAATATTTTACTTTATTAGGGACAAAAAAAAGTACTGCTTTCAAGGGTGAAAAGTCAAAAAACAGACCTATTATCCCCAAAATCCTGAAATGGAAGACTCATAAGCATAATACAAAAAAAAACCCAAAACAAAACCCTGTAAAATGGAATCAAAACACAACACACACCCTTCACCCCCAGGATTTGTAGATACTAGGACCGCCTTTCTAAAGCTAAGAAGTCACTGGCCCAGAGTTCCTCAACTCCCCCCACCCCCACCCCTGGCTCTGACCCAGAGATCGATCTTAACTCACTCAAAAATATTCACAGCTAACTCCCCAACATGAAGAATGATCCCAGTGTGGAACCTGGTTCTTAGGTTCAGCCCCTGGACACATAATCTACACCTTTTCATCTTTTTTTTAAAGACTTTCACAGAGGGATAAGCAAGAACAGGAACACAAGCAGAGGGAGTGGGAGGGGGAGAAGCAGTCTTCCCACTGAGCAGGGAGCCAATGCAGGGCTCAATCCCACAACCCTGGCATCATGACCCGAGCCGAAGTTTATTAAACATATCCAACAAAGAAAAGTCTGAAACACCTGGGTTATAGTTGCTCCATCTTCTGGCTCCCATCCATCTTTATTGTCAACACCCTGAAAGTCACTTTACAGCCAGCCGCCCACTCAGCACAACTGAAAAAGGAAAAACCAAGCAGCCTCTGGAGGGCTTTTACAGTCAACAGACCCCATATTCAAGCTTGTCAAATTTAAAGTCCCCCGAAAGGGTAGACCCTAAAGAAGCGCCGCGAAACTAACACCGTTCCCCGCCTCTGCCTTCACCCAGCTGAGGCCTATTACTCATCTCTTGCCTCCTAACATGGGCGTCCACGGTCGAGCGGCATGCAGCCTGGGCAGGCTGCGGGGTCCTGAGGAACCACCTCATCCCGCAGCCAACGCCAGCCTTGCCTCCGTGTGCCCCCTGACTCGCTCCGGGTTCCAAGATAGGGCCTGGCAGGAGGCCACCCCCGGCCCTCCCTCCACACTTGGGTCGCCTGTGGGATCCCCAAGACCCAGACACCCAGGACCCCGTCCACCTGCACCCGTGACCGGTGGCGCCCCTCGTGGAGCAGCAAGCACCACCGGGGGAGGAGGACGCCTGGGCCCCCTGCCTGCCGGAGGCCCTAGGCGGGGCCTAGGCTTTGCCGGGGCGGGCTTTGCGAGCTCGCGCTTCTCTCTGAAGCGCTTCACGCGCTCCACCTTCCACAGACCCCTCGTTTTCCCTTCCTGCGAACATCAAGCCTTAGTGGGCCCTACACCGGGCCCGGGAGCTGGGCCTCGCCGCGCCCCACCGAAGGGCAGGCATTCGGCGGCAGGCTCCTCCCCACTGTTCATGCATCGGTGCAGACAGGAAACACCGTCCTGCTTCAACTCACTGCGATTTACCCCGTCCGATCGGACGCCGGGCCACCGTGATCACCGGGCCAAGCAGTGCAGACAGCCCCCCGCCCCCCCGCAGGAGGCCACCACTGGCGCCCATTTTCATCCCCCATACACGCGGGGTGGGAGGACAATGGGACACATGAAGGCGGCCACGGGGGGCCGGACAGTGGGGGCCTGCCGGGGAAAGAGGACGCTGCCACCCGGGGCGCGGAGCCAGACCGCCGGCCTCCCGCACGTCCATCTCCACGCGTCAGCCACGCGTACCGACCGCCGGCCGAGGGGCAGGCGCAGGGGAACCACGGCCGCGGGCTCAGAACGCCGCCGGCCCCTCGTTGCCGGGGGTGCACACACTCTCGCACGGCCCCACGCACGACTCGGCCTCTGAGCAAGCCTTTCAGGGGAGGGGGACAGCACGAGCCCCTCCAAGGGAACCCCAAGCACGCACCCTGCGGGGACCCACGTGTCCTGCAACTCATTACCCCACTGCTCCGGCCGGCTCACCACCACTAATAGCGGCGGGCTAATCGGTGGAAGGGTCCCCTGGCGGAAAGCCCTCCCCCCCCCCCCCCCGGGAAAGGGCCCCCAACAGAGACCCAACTGCAGGAGTCCAAAGACTGGAGGACAGGACCTCCGAGACCGGATACCACGCAGACGCCCAAAGGCTCCCCCCGCCTCCCCAGGAGCTCACAGTGCCCCGGGCTCATTGGCGACACCCCCGCCGGGGGGGGGGACCGTGTGGCCGATAAAGGACCGGGCTTTCCAGCTCCTCGTGGCCATACCGCTCCAACCCGAGGCGGAAAGGCCTCCCCCCCGCCAAGGGTCTAAATCTCCGTGCCAGGTACCTCTGGAGCTAGGTACCTGGCAGGGCCCCTCCCGCCGTGCCCCTCCGACCCACGCCAGGCGCGCTTCTGTGGGGGAATCCCCACCCCCCCTGCACCCGCGCCCTGGCCCTTGACCACGGAAGGCGCGGGGCTCTGGCGGGAAACCAGGGCCCCAAGGCGTGGAGAGCGGGCAGAGCCTGGGGGTGGGATCCGGGCAGATGGCCGAAAATCCACAACCATGGGGGCGGCAAAGGGAGCCCCCCGCTAGCCAAGGCTCCACGATGCGCCTGGGGTGGGGACAACCTGGTGGCGGGAGCACGGAAGACGAACGTGGGACCCTCGACACGCCTCGTGGGACACGGCTGCAGGAGGCGCGGAGGGCAATGGCGCACCCTCCGGCGAGCCTTCTCGGACCCGCGTCCCCGCACCGCCCGGGGGAGGCCTTGGGCGCCGCCCGGCGCTTGCTCCGCGCTCCCAGCGCGCTCACTAACGACCGTTCAGGTTGACCTCGGGATAACCTTGCTACGACGTTCTCTCAAGTTAGACCATATTGGCCAGCGGTCCGCCAGGCCGCGCCCACCTGAGGGCCTCACTAACCCGCCCGGGCGGGGTGTACTCGGGACCAGTACCCACACCGGGAATTCGGCTTTCGTGGTGACCAACGGCACTTCCCGACTGCAGTGGGAGTGCCGGTGCGAGCAGCCCACCGTAGATCAGTCACACACTTGTTTACCTGGGGGGGGGGGGGGCGGCGGCTGCCTGTCACACTTGTCCCCCTAAGAAACGGCCGCACGACCGCTGGCTCCAGGGAGTCACACACACTAGTTAGTTCTCATTCCAGCCTCCAGGATCCCGACGAACCAGCAAAATCACCACCCACACAGCATCCCCACGATGAGCGAGCCACCAGCTAAATTCCCCCACTTCGGGCAGAGGGTGCTGGAGACGGGCCCCCCACGGCATAGGAAAGGAGACCCGCACCCGCAACGCGGGCCTCTGGCTGGTCCGCCCCGGGGCCCCGAGGCCCGACCCTGCCTTGGAGGCAACACGGTTCACGATGGGAAATCGGTGCTCGGCCCTATCGGGGAACCGGCGGGCTTCACGCCAGAAGCAGCCTTCGCCCACACGCAACGACGTGCCCGGTGGCTACTCAGCGCGCGAGGGGAGCAGCGGCAAGGGCGTCAGGGGCCCCGATGCTCTCTGATCGAGGGCACGGCGGGCTCGCAGAGACGTCCAAACAGCCGAGCTGGGGACTCGGCGATGCAGGTAAGCACATGGGGCCCCTTCAGGGGTCAGGGGCTCGACTGGGAAGCTGCGCTGCTTCGGAAATTCATCCACTTGCCGTGCAGGGCAAGAGACAGATATTCATGCCACGTAACCGATAAAATGGCGAAACAAGCCGATGGAACCACCGCCATCGTCGTCTGGCGCGCAGCTTCGTCCTCCGGCACGCGGCCAGGCCAGCGGCCCCCCCAACCCTGGAACAGCGCATCGCCTCTCGCCCACCCGACTCCCGCTCCTCCAACGCCCTCGGGGAGGACCGGCTCAGAGGCTACTGCAAACGGGCACCTGGTGGTGGACCTCGAGTGCTCCGGGGGCCCCACAGCGGACCCGGGGAGCGCACAGGGCGGCAGGATGGCTTCTCCACCGCAGAGTTGCTCGCAAGACCACCAAGAAACTAAGTTGAAAGCATCTCCTGTACCAGAGGCCCCGGCCCGAGTGGAGCCGCGTGAAAGAGCGAGGCGGCCAGGCTCCGCATCCCTGCCCGCGCAGCACGCGCCCACCCGGCAGGGGAAAGGCACGGCCCGTTGCGGCGCGGGAGGAGTGGTGCCCCACGCCGCGAATATGCGGCTACCGCGGACCCTCGCCTGGCTTCAGGGCGGAGAACGCGCTCACCACAGCGACCGGCTCAAGAAGCTCTAAAGGGAACCCACAGGAGGGACAACAACGCTGGGCCTGCTTCGACCCCCAGCCCTCTGTTGGCCGAAAATGACCGGCAGTCTGGACACATTACTCTTCCATTGCACTGAACCAGGTGGGGGGGGGGTGGCAGAGCGCGTTTGCGACTGCAGTCAGGTACCTTCAGCAAAATGACATCATGCCCCAAACTTCCTCCCACCACTTTTGGGGTGTTCCCAGCGGACAGAAAACTCAGGGAAGCAGCTGAAACAAGACAAAATCTGGCCTCAAGCTCAGAGCTCTCACGCGCGTTGAGACGTTGTTTTCACTAGTTGCGCCAAGGTTCCTGTCCCCGAGAGTCCACGGCGGCAAAGAGCGTCAATTCCACGTGAAAAAATTACTGTGCTCGGAGACGGAGCCGACTCACAGATTATGCGGGCCTCTTGGTATCGTGGCTCAGCTGATCGTCCCCCCCAGCATGACCCCCCAACTCGGGCCTGGAGCGTCTGCTGCCATCTGGTTGACCCAGGAGCGTAAGGACACAAACCCTCAACAGATTCCAGACGTTGTGGGGGGGCTGGCTACCCTTGCCCGACTTGCCCATGCAGGTAAGAGCCCACCCACTCGTGTCTCCCGACTGGAGCTTAAATTCCACGGAGATCCTCCGGCCAGGAAGGCCCAGGTGCCCACACCCCCTTCCCTCGCAGGTCTTCTGTCGGCCCTCAACTCCAGATTGGGGCTCGGAAAAAACCGTGGAGGCACCACCGCATACCACGCGGAACAGTGGGCAGGCTCCGGGCACTTCATCTCGGCCACTGCACACGCTCTTTAAAACATGTTTTCAGAAAGTGGCCTTAGTCAATTGGTGACAGGACTGGATATATTATGTGAATCCCTGGCAATATTTTGCCATGTCTGCATGTAGCAGAGCAGTAACTAGTACTGGAAGTGAAATCCCTAGACACATGCATGAGTCTTCCAGTTTGTAATTCATAGGGAGATAAATGAGTGAGTGGACTCCATGGCCATAAGGGCGAGAGGGAATATCTTTGGCCAAGGGAGCTCAAAGGTTTCCGAAAGTTTTGCTGATGTTAACAATGCCAGTGGTCCATTCAACTTTTCTAGAAGATTGTGAGTGGTAAAAGAGAGTGTTTATAATGGTTCCCATAAAGTGTGTGACATGATGACCTGATGTAGATGTAAACATTGGGATGATCCAGGGCTGGAAACAAAATCAATCAGCTTTTCAGCAAACTCACTCTGCAAATAGACATACAATCACTAAAATATATTCAAGTCCCATAGAGGGTAGAAGCTGGATAAAGTCCATTTGAAGGTGTTCAAGGGGCCCTTGAGGTATGGCCACCACTTATCCAGGTCCCCTTGGTGATGTGTGCATGGTCCAAGCCACTCACAGTCCCTATTTGTCCCCCACTGGCTTGGGACTGTCCAGTAGGGATCAGAGCTTCAGGAAGAGCCAGGTGGGAACCTTACCCACCCCCTCATGTCAACCACAGCCCCTGCAAGGCCCCCCAGGTATAAATATCTCAATATTTTCCCCCAGTGGTCTTTTGCCCCCTTCTCCAAAGGCACTGCTAACCCTATTCCCCACCCCTTAGGACAATCATCACTCTTAAAAGATTCTCCATCTGAGGGGCGCCTGGGTGGCTCAGTCATTAAGCGTCTGCCTTCAGCTTAGGTCATGATCCCAGCGTCCTGGGATTGAGCCCCGCATCGGGCTCCCTGCTCTGCAGAAAGCTTGCTTCTCCCTCTCCCACTCCCCCTGCTTGTGTTCCCTCTCTCACTGTGTCTCTATCAAATAAATAAATAAAATCTTTTAAAAAAATTAAAAAAAAAAAAAAGTTCTCCATCTGAGCCCTTTTCCTAGGCCATGAGTTCTTTACATCCTCAAATAGCCCCAGAGGCAGGTCTGCTCATGATCTCCATTTTATACAGCTGGCAGCTGAACCTAGGGGGAGGTTGGGCAGCAAGTTTCTCTTTGTGACCTCCACTGAGAGGTGGGGATGGAGGAATCAATTCCAAGCCCATCCCTCCTTCTGGTCCCAACTACTTTATGGATCATAATCACTTCCTCCCTCTGTCCCTAGGGCACCCTGCAGACCCTCTCCTTCCCAGATGCTGATGGCCCCCATAAGACTTTGCTAAGGCCACCATAATACATTACTTCAGACTGGATGGTTTAAGCAACAGAAATGTATTTTCTCATATGCTAGGTATCTGATATCAGGGTCTCAGAAGCACTGATTTCTCCTGAGACCTCTCTCCTTGGCTTGTAGGTGGGCATTTTCTTCCTCTCTCTTCACATGATCTTCCCTCTGTGTGTCTGTGTACTAATTTCCTCTTAATGACACTAGTCACACTGGATTAGTGTCCACAGTATCACCTTTATTTTACCTTTTCAAAAACCCTATTTCCAAATGCAGTGACATTCTGAGGTACTGGAGATTATGACTTCAACATATGAATTTGGGAACATACAGTTCAGCCCATAACTAACACATCTTTTCATAGGGAGCTAACAGGGAGGAGTTCTCCTGAGGATGACCTCATTTAACAGTCCCCAAATCACAGCCCTGTAACTACAGCTCTGAGGCGCTCTGAGGTATCAACAGGAATGAAACATATCCATACAAAGAATCATAAATTTAAGAATCAAACAAATGTCTCTAACAACTGTTTGATAAAGCCCCAAACTAGAAACAACTCAAATATCTGAAACAGATGAGTAAATAAACAAATAGTGGACAGAACATTACATTTCTTGACACATTAAAAGAATGAACTAATTACACAGACCCACTGACAAATCTCAAAATAAATATACCAGACGAGAACACCCAGAGGGGAAAAAAACTAAACATTTTATTTTCAATCATGTAAAATTACATTAAATACATATGAATCTATTGTAGAAGAAAGTAAATCAATGTTTGCCTGGAGGGCAGAGAGAAGGAGATAATAATTAAAGGACATGAGTGAATGTGGGGTGATGCATATGCACACTGTTACGATTTATGATGATGGCTTCATGGGTTTATATGAATGTCAACACTCATCAAATGGTACAGTTTAAATATGGACAATTTATTATTTATTAACCATACCAAAAAGGCATTAACAGTATAATAAAAAAAATTCTGTTTTCAAAAAACAAAGTTTGGCAAACCTGTATTGATCCCACCATATCCCTTGTAATGCCCTGGGATCAGCACCTTGCCTCAGTGGCAGCAAATACAGGTGAGCAATGAAAGCCATTTCCACCTGAGTCATCAGGAATGCAGGCTGCCTAAAGCCTGCATTTCTGGACTGAGATCTTCCTTCTTTCTTTGTTTTCCTTCAACAAAGGCCTTATGGTGAACAATGCAGAGAAACTACAGGAATCCACAAAACTGTTAGATTCCTTTTCTTATAGAGAGAGCACACGTGAGAGAGTGTGAACGTGGTGCTGGTGGGGGAGTGTGTGCAAGGGAGGAGAGAGGATCCCAAGCAGGTTCTGCACTGAGGCTAGATCTGTATGCAGGGCTTGATCTCACAACCCTGAGATCATGACCTGAGTCAAAACCAAGAGTCGGACGCTTAACCAACTGAGCCACCCAGGCGCCCCCCATTAGATTTTCTGACGAGGCCCTCAGCTACACAAGATTCACAGTTCAGAAAGATCTGAGAATTTCTGTACTTGCTCATCCTTCACAGCCATACCGACTAGAACAATGGCAGGTGCCCTTTTAAAAGAGGCACATTCCAACCAGTTTGTTGCAGTCTCTTGCCCTCTCTGTTAATCCACCGTCTGTGTACAATTATGACTCCCCCTATAATCTTTCAGCCAGTGACACTACCACACCGAATTCTGGGCATTAGGGTACCTCTCTCCTTTGCAAGATCTGGGAACAGATTTCCTGCACCGGTGCTGAGCACAATGCAACATCCCCTGCAAAGAAGAGAACAACTTTATGTTGTTCCCAGAAGTACCGGAGGTTGTCACAACTGCCCCCTCTTCAAGGTGAGCGCTGACAGCACGAAACGTCCTGGCATCCAGGCTACAATTTAACCACAAAACCCTATATAATTTCCTTAGAGGCCTTAGGCAACAATGCAAACAAGGCCCAAACTAGAGAGAGGACTACCATCCTTCTATCCCCCTGAAGCACACAAAGATTGGGGTGCCCACGGCAGCTGTTTCTCCTGTCATTCTGAAACCACCCCATAAAGTGAATCTAAGCCTCAAGATAAAGATGACTTACACAATAAGGCCTTTGTTACAGCACAAACCAGAATAATAGAGGAAGGCTGTTCCTCGGTTAGTGACTCGGAGGCTGGGAAATTCCATCACAAGAATTACCAGACCAATATCCCTAAAAAAGATGACTTTTCAGGTCACAGGCAGAACTCAGATGGAGCCCTCTGGAACACAATGGGGTCATCCATGCCCTACTAATCAGAGAGAAAAAAATGAGTACTCTGGCTTCTCACATTCACCCAGTGAATGGGAAAACACCAAGGTTTACTTCGCTGAACACATCAGAGCAGATAAATGATATACATATGGGCACCTGCAGGTGGGAGAGGTGAATGGCTGCTGCTACAGAATCAACAGTAATAAAAATTCACACGGGCCCAACCTGAAACATGCAACACAGCTCCACATACCTGGAATTTATTTTGATGTCTGGATGTATGAGGCGCAATTCAGGCATATGGCACCCTCAAAAGAGATCTCCTCGAGTGTTGTTATACTGAACAAGGAAATACATTTGCTACATATCTAAGTTGTTTCTCCCATGTGAATTTTGTGGTAATCAATGAGGTAAGGGCTTCGGCTAATGGCTTTCTCATTCAAGATATTTATAATGCCCAATCCAGTATGAACTCTCTGGTGTCGAGTGAGGCCAGAGCTTTTACTAAAGGATTTCCCACACTGGTTACACTTATACGGCCTTTCTCCAGTGTGAACTCTCCGATGGTCACTGAAGTTGGAGCTTCGCCTAAAGGACTTCCCACACTCACTGCACTCATATGGCCTTTCTCCAGTGTGAACTCTCTGGTGTTTAAGGAGCGCAGAGCTTTGGCTAAAAGATTTTCCACATTTGCTGCACTCATAAGGCCTTTCTCCAGTGTGAACTCTCAGATGTAGAACGAGGCTGCAATTCTGGCTAAAAGATTTCCTACATTCACTGCACTCATAAGGCTTTGACCCTGTGTGGACTTTCTGGTGTTTTAAAAGACTGGAATTGTAGGTAAAGGATTTCCCACATTCACTGCACTCATAGGGCCGTTCTCCGGTGTGAACGGTATGGTGTTGCAGGAGCGCAGAGCTTTGATTAAAGGACTTCCCACACTCACTGCACTCATAAGGCTTTTCTCCAGTGTGAATTCTCCGATGTTGAATGAGGTTGGATCTTTGACTGAAGGATTTGCCACATTCTCCACACTCAAATGGCCTTTCTCCAGTGTGAACTTTCCGATGGTTATTGAGGCTGTAGCTTTGGCTAAAAGATTTCCCACATTCACTGCACTCGTAAGGCCTTTCTCCAGTGTGAACTCTCCGATGTTGAAAGAGGTTGGAGCTCTGGCTAAAGGATTTTCCACACTCCCCACACTCATAAGGCCTTTCTCCTGTGTGAACTCTCTGGTGTTTAATAAGGCTAGAGTTATGGCTAAAAGATTTCCCACATTCACTGCACATGTAACATCTTTCTCCAGGGCGGACTCTCTGGTGATGAACAAATGTGTGCTTGTGGCTGAAAGCTTCTGTGTTGTCTCCCCAGCGGTGCTGAGTTTTTCCCTTGTGGAAGGCTGCCCCACATTCAGTTGCATTGTTTGACTTCTCTCCAGTCTGTGTGGCCTGTTGCTGGAGGAATCCTGAGCTGGCCAAGAAATCCTTCCCAACCTCCCCACAGATAAAGGGCTTCCCTGACACTTGCAATCCGCAGCTCTTGACCACTGAAGCTCTGCTTACATTGTTACCGAAGGGCTTATCGCTCACATGCTGCTTCTGCTGCTGCTGAAGGTTTTCGCTGAAACAGAATCTTTTCCCATGTGTCCCACCAGTGTACACTTTCTCACTGAATTGTGTTTCCTGGTGCTCAGCCGAGTGAAAACTGTCTTTCAAGACTGGACCACACACCTCATAGGGGTTGGCCTTCTGGGGAAAAAGACCTGTCTTGGGAGTCCTGACATGTGACACTACAGAAACGCTCTGCTCAGACGGTGCCTCCTCATCCTCTGCTCCATGCCAACAACCTGAAAGCAGGAAATGCTGGTGAAGTGCACGGTGACTTTCGTGGGTAGGCAGCTGCTACCCAAGCATGTCGAATAAACCCAGAAACGAGTGCATGAGACTGTTCATAGGGTAAGAGGTCTGAATTCAGGCTGAGGATGAGGATGAGGCTGCTTAGCAGGGCTGGGCTCACAAAATGGGGGCACTTATGAGGTGAAATAAACACACTGAAAAGAGACAAGGTCTACACATAACTTTCAACAGGACCTAGTCTGCCATGCAGAAGGGTGTGTTCAGGCCCAGGAAAATTCAACAGTGAAAGAGAGCCTGGTGTTCAAGGACTGTTTAACAATCTGTGTTCACCTCATGACACAACACATAGGAGCCAAGGAGGACAGTACCCCACATGGAAGAGTGACTAAAATGGTCAAGACGTGGAGTTCAGAGAGGTGTAGATTAGCCCTGGGCAGGAAGTAAGAGTACAAGTGATGAACAGCAGTTGACCAGTCACCTGAGTGTAAAGACTGGGGAAGGAAAGGCAGGTATGAAGTGCGGGGGCCACTGTCATTACCAACAAAAGACCAGTCATGTGGAATAAGTTTCTGGTATGATGTATACACAACCCTGAGGTCATGCCTCCCCCAGGTGTCACTGTTCAGAGCCAGGCTGTGAACCACAACACACTCTCCACAACCCCGAGATGAGCAACTATGTGGCACCTGGATGATGCAAGTATAAATAAGGGACAGACAGGAGAGATAGGTGGCCAGCACTGGCCAAGAACAGCTCAGCACATGCAGCGCACAGGAAAGAAAACTATTATAAAGAAAACTTCCAAGAAGGATCTTGCAAGAACAGACCGTGGTCTATATTACAGTGATGGTCAGTGATGGCAATTTCTAGCACAAGAAGGAATGAGGAAATGTCAGCTAGAGAAAGAAAGTGGAACCTGGGATACTCGGGTGCTTTGTAACTGCAAGTCACCTGGCAGGGAGAGGGCAAGCAAAGTGGGATCCACTGGGCTGAATGGAACAGTCCAGACCCTGGTTCCTTCCCTGAGAGGCTTAGGAGTAGCAGGTGTTGGGGCTGCTCAAGGAGAAGGCAGTGCACATACCTCACCAGCCAACCACACTGCCTATTCAAGGACGTGGGGAAGGAAGCAGAGACCATGATCCTGATGGGAGAATAGATCTGCCCTTGGGGAAAAAGGGAAAGGGACAGACTAGCTCAGGGTACAGAGGCGGGTGTGAGGACCTTACCCAGGGAGGTTATAAGCGCCCAGTTCTCCAGCATCACATCCTGGTACAGGCGTCTCTGTGCCTCATCAAGAAGATCCCACTCCTCCCAGGAGAAGGACACAGCAATGTCCTCAAAGGTCACAGTGCCCTGGCAAGATGGAGACAGACGAAACCATAAACAGCCTCTCCCTCATAGATGACAATCCATCTCCACATCTACCCCTCACCCATCCTCCTCCTAAGCATCGAACACAGAAGAGAAACCAGGCCCTAGCACCGCAAGTGCAACTGTCTCCTCACAGGTCCATTGATCATGGGCACCAGCCATCAGTAAGATGAGGCAGGTGGATAAAAAGGTACAAAACAAGGGTCTGGCACAGAGGCATTCACCCATTTCTGCTAAGCAATTCCCCTAATACGGACAAACCATGCAATTCCCAATCCCAGGGCCCTAGGGCCTCAGGCATCCTCCCTCTACAAGCACACATCATTCCTTAGCTGGCACATCCCCACATTGTAGACACTGCCACATGCCCACGGCTGCCACCAGCTTACGGCCCTGCATACCTTAGGCAACTCTCTGGCCTTACAATTACGTATGACTGTATTTCAATCACCTGCTCTTCACGCCACTGGTGAGGATGGGAATCGGCTGTGTGCTAGGGTTAGGGGGATGGCCAAACACAGAACACCTAACACTGGACAGATGAGACTGACAGCACTTTTCTAACCATATATATTCACAGTCTGAGAGAGGACACCACACGCCACACAGGGCCACAGCGGGGTGGCACTCTGGGAAAGAATGAACAGATGGTGGTTGTGAGATCCAAGATTTGTAATATCAATACAAAGAGGTACCCCTGTTTCCCCTGGGAAGATGCCACTGACTTATCTCAGTAACTCCACGAGCAGGCAGGGAACTGAAACCAACTACAGAGGGATAAGCAGGAACTGCTCCTGATCACCTCGATAAAAACATTGTTTGGTTAGGAGATCTTATTTCTGGGAGCAGAGTGGGGAGCAGAAGTAGCACTCTGGCCATCGGAGGCCCTCATGGTTTCCACACATCAGTGCCGCATGTAATATTGGCTCTTAATTTTATTTTTTTTAAACTTTTTTTTTTTAAGATTTTATTCATTTATTTATTAGAGAGCGAGCGAGAAAGAAACAGCATGAGAGGGGAGAGGGTCAGAGGGAGAAGCAGGCTCCCCACTGAGCCGGGAGCCCGATGTGGGACTCGATCCCGGGACTCCAGGATCATGACCTGAGCCGAAGGCAGTCGCTTAACCAACTGAGCCACCCAGGCGCCCAGCTCTTAATTTTACACCTTGCACCACAACCTGAATACAGCATCCACAGGATCCTTTGCAAATTCAAACAGGATTGAACACTGCTACTGACTTCCCAGGACACCCACTAAACGTCGCAGCCCCAAATCCACCTGCGAAGCCTTCACTGCTTGGGTCTGTTCCTTGCCTCAGACGTATGGATCTCAGATACTCATGGCCCTATTCCACAAGGTGCTGTGCTTGCTGTCCCTAAAGCAATCACAACCTTCCTCTGTCCACCTAACCCTCATCAAAGCCCAGCTCCATCAGTGGTCCACCCCAGGCCTTAGTGACTCTCACAAATGACCACATTTGCCCTTGACCTTATCCTCCTGCCTGAATGAAACAGCCCAGACCCCAACAAAGTCCTCAAAAAATCCTGGTGAGTGCACAGAATGGTGATTAAACACCCACTCCGGTCTGCGTGACATCTTGCCTCGGTTATCCCTTCCCTCCGTGTCCACCTCATTCATGTCCACCCTTGCATTGGAAGCCTTGGCCACCTGCCAGACTATCCCGTCCCTGACACACACTCCTTTCAGGGCCATGTACCTGCCTCATTTGTTTGCGAAGCCTCAATCCATCACCTAGGTACCCAGGCAAGAGACCCAGCCACAGTCCCCATCCTCCCCTACCTGGCCCCTAATAGCTTTACAATCATAACCTGTTGATTACCCCTCCTAATCGTGAACATCCTGAACCCTCCATCCTGAACCTTCCCCAGATTCCCAGACCTATGTGTACAACTGCCTACATCATACATCCATTCAGTGGTCTCTGAAACACCCCAGACTCTCAATATACCTAAATCAAAGCTCCTAACACCCCCACAGTGAGTATTACTACTACATTCTTCATCTCAGATAATGGACCTTCCACTCCTACAGCTGCTGAGACCTAACACACTGGGGTCATCCCTGAGTCCTGTATTTCACTCCTTCTCCTGCATCAGAGAATCTAGCTGCCCATTTAAAACATGCATCCAGAATCCAATTACCTTTCTTAAGCCATAACTCTGGTCCATTAACTCTCACCTGGGCTTTGGCAGTAGCTGCAGCCCGATCTTCCTTCCTTCTCCCCCGGTCTCACAGTCTGTTCTACACTCTGCAGCCAGACGGAGTCTGGTAAGATCTTGTTAAGATCACTTTCTGCCTCTGATTCACACCTCCCTATCACCTCCAGAATACACACCCAACTTCTCAGTCATTCCAGTCTTGATTCCTGTCCCCCCTGCTCTTTGTTCCCACCTAAAAGGACACCTGTGGTTTTCTGAACACTCAGTTCAGTTACACTTCTAAGCTTCTGCATATCTTGGAACCTGTTCCTTGTACATCGGTTGCCAGAAATGGGAACATTTCTATATAAAGCCTTACATGGACTTAGGAGCCTGTGCGTAGGATTTCCCCAGGGCCCCCAGACCCAGGCCTGGGGGAATGACACTTAGGAGCCCCAGGACACCATAATCCAGAGAATATGTGCGTGGTGGCCAGGGCCAGTGAGGGGCTGAGACACCCTCCACCAACCTGTGTTAAGTTCCACAGCACCTCTGCCGCAATGGGCATCTGTGCAGAGGCTGGCAATGGAGGAACGGGGCCATGGCAGGGTTCGCTGGGCTCATGTTACCCTACCCTTCCCTGGCCCTGGAGTCAGGTGACCTTACGATGGCTGTCTAACCGCTGTGCCTCAATGCTGTGTCCCCTCTTGCCAACCGTGCCACCTGAACTAAGATCCAACCTCCCAAGGCCTCAACGTCCTCTTCATTGCCCTCTGGTCTGCTCTTCCTTTGAACTGCCTTCGGAAAACTTTGAAATCCCAAACGGTCCCTCGTTTGGCCAAAAGTCCCCTTGGCGTCTAGAGTCCTCTAGACCTGAAGGTACCGCACCTCACCTCGGCCCGCAGTCCGGGCGTGACCCCCCTCACGCGCTGTCCCCCGAGGGCAGAATCCTCCCGCCTCAGCCCCCCTCCCGCCTCGGCCCCGGCCGCCCTCGGCCCGGAGCCCGCTCCCGCACGGGGCCCCCGCCCGCCGCCGCCTGCCTGTCCCGGACGCCGGGGCCTGGGCCGCGGGGGTCTGGGTGGGGGGACGAGCGCTTACCTGAGTCGGGTCCCGGGGCGCGGCCGCCGCCATCGGACACGGCGGGCGGACCGCACACCCGGGCCGGTGGTCCCCGTCCCGGCCCCCGGCGCAGGGCAGCCGGGCGGCGTCGCCAGCCGCGGACCCAAGTGTGTGCGGCGGGGACAGTGCCTTCCCTCGCGCCTTCTCGGTTAGTCACCCCAATCCTGAACCTGCGCTCCAGAACATTAGCGGACGAACAAGCGTGAAAGAGGCAAAAAGACCGCCAGGGGGATGAGGCCGGAAGCTCCGCCCCGACGTTAGGGGCGCACGCAGAAACGACTCTTTTCATTGGTCAGAGATGCAGTCCGTCGACGCGCGCCCTTCTGGGTAATGTAGTTCACAGACGCACAGGACGCGGATAAGGCAGTCCCATCGACCTCTGGGAGGAAAGGCCACGCCCCCTTAAGGGCTCTGGAAATTAGGGTCTTCCGTCCCAGGCCGGAGGGGCTTCGCTCCTTCTTAAAGGATCCGTACCCAGATTTCTGGGAAGTGGTGTCTGCAACTGATCACCCAAGTGTTTGTAGACATTATTTCAGACTCCTTGATGCTCAGCGTGGTCCCAAAGCTAAAACCATTTCATATGCTCCCAAAGGCTACAGATCCAAATGCACATATCATTCTATACAGTCATTTAGATACAAAATGTGTCCCTGGAAGCAGAACCTAGTAAACGTTATCATCCTACAAGTCAAATACACCCAGAAGCATTAGAGACAGTTTTGTCAGTCTGTGTATGTTAGGTCAGGGACAAGGTAAATATACTTCATATAGGGCCGTGTCACAGAAGATACAGGATGAATGTGAAGCCACCCTAAAGCAAGCGTTTAAAAAAAAAAAAAATGCACCCATAGAAAACATCTCTCTAATCTGATCATTAATTTTTGTGTCCAATTCATTGAACAATACTTTTAGCCATTTAGTATCTTACTTCATATCCTGGCATGAACCCAGTTCCTTTTAGGAATCTAACATCCATCAATAAAAGAACAATGTATTAAATGTTGTTTTCGAAGGGGACAATGGGGGCAGTGTTTCAAAGATGGAGCATGTATGCAAAGGCCACTCTCCTTTTCAAAGGAATTGGGGTACTTAAAACCATGATATCTCATTGTTTGGAAGTGATTACCATTTCTCTTGCAGGGACTGTTCTGCATGGGGAATTGTTATTACCTCAGAACTATAGATGCAAAATGCAAATTACAGAAAGCTATTACTAGTGGCTATGTAGTGATTCAAAGGTGGTGGCAGACAGCTTTGATGAAACATCAGTGGATGGGGAGAAAGTTAAGACCTCAGAGAAGATTTGGCAGTGATGTCTGAGAACAGGAATATTTAGGTTGAACGCATGACCAGAATGTTCACTCTGATGGTTTTCTCCAAAATGATCTTTTTCTTCATTCTTGAAAACATTGTGCAGTATCAGTGGAGAAAAGAAACAATGTGACAGAGTAGACAGAATTATAAAAATATACAGAGAAGCTGAGGCTTACTGTATAGTGTTATCCTTTTAGAATTGAGTCTGCACATGTGTGTGTCATTCTGTCTGGGTCCTGAATTCAGATTTGTTTCTATAAAAGTTGTTTGTTGTGGTTAAAAGTGAAGACATGCTTTGTATACAGAGCTGCACTATGCTTTTCTCACTTAACTATATATCTTGGACATTCTAAAGCCACTTCCTCATTTTATATCCACACCTCCTTATATCCACACATATTAGACCTAAACCCAACTCTTTTTAAAGACTGCTGTGCATTTCATTGTCCTCCTGCTCCGTGGCTGGCCAGCTGGCCCAGCCTACAAATCTCTCCTATGTGCCCCCAAGGTCCTTCCTCCAAGCCCACAGAAAACTGTGGAGACTTCTGGGTTAGTCCCTTGTCCACCTGGCCACTCTCAGGGGTCTCCTGTACTGAGAATTGGGCCAGATTATTAAAGATATTAAGGCCAGGAGGCTGGTGACACAGACACAAGCCTTAGGTTCCAGATCCCTATGGTTGGGGTGCTGTTTGGTCTTGCTGCCCTCCTTAGAGTCCAGAAGGCAGAAGCAAGGGCCACATCATACTGGCTGTATCCTGTCCATAAGAGAGTGTAGCTGAATCAAAGGACAGTTCATCTGCCAGATGCATAGCAAGCCAGTAAGACTGACACCCAGCTTCCAAGGTGAAAAAAAAATCAGCTATTTATTGGTGTGGCACCACCCAGGAGAACAGGGAGCTAATGCTCAAAGTCCTGAACTCCCTGATGGGAGTAGGGGTCTCCAGAGAAGGTGGATGCTATAGATTGGGAGCCCATGAAGTCATGTTAACAGATGTTACATACTTCTGGTGCCCTTTCATCTGGTCCCACGGAAGTCTGTTCTATCTCACAAGACTTAAAATCTGAAAAATATATTAATTTCTTATGTTACAGGTTTCATTAGGTACATCTGGTGATTATGTGTTTAGGATAGTGCTGGTCAGCTGCTTGTATGTGCCTAAATTAACCACTTATACATGCATAAGCTAACAGGGTTGCATTCCTTCATGTTCCTTTGAATGATAAGGGAGTATTCCTATCTCTTGGGCCTGTGTCTGCATGTTCCATGGTCAGTCCAGCTGTGCATGGGGACAATATGACGTACAGTGTTCCTTCTTTCATCTGAACTAAGAAGATGGATGCTGGCTTCAACAGGTCCCCAAGATTATCCGCCCACATGCAGGGGCACTGCCAGGTGCCACAGGTTGGGAGTTAGCCTCTAAAGTGAGAAGTGAGGATTCAGCCTCTGGAAGAGGAACATGGGATTCAGTGGATGATGTCACCTGTCGGTACCTGACCTCTGCTGGGAAAGAGTGGTGATCTCTGCTTCTGTGGTGAAGGGGACCTAAAGAGCCCAGACTGAGGCTACAGATCAGCCCTGTCCCTGGAGATCTCCTCCCCCAAGGACTCAGCAGTGGGATTTCCTGTTGCCTTCATATTCCTTGGCTATGATCTCTACTGCCTCCACATCCAAGTGTAGCTTGGGAAATGCCCTGAAAGGATGAGACCTCACCTTCCTTGCTTTCTCTCTGCCAGCCCTCTTTTTAAATTACATTTAGCTATTACACAACAATAATCAAGGGATTGCATATATTGCTTTTTTTCTTACTCTCCTCTCTTTTTTTTAATGCATCTACAAAACCAAGTCTCCAGGAGTTGGATCCATTTGTAAATTCCATTGGTAGTTTTTACCTTCAGTACTAGTGCAACACAGCTGCTCCTCCACACCATGCATAACCAGGTGGCCACCCAGGAAGCGGTTTCCTGACCTCTGCCCTTACATCTTTCATTTTCCCAAGCCACATGTTTCCATGAGCCTGGGCTATTCTCACAAATCCCACTTCTCTAGCATCAAGGAACCACCTTGGGTGCCTGTACAGAATTTTCCATGGCCGTTGAGAAGGGATCTTGATAGGACCGAGGCGAGATCAGTAGGTAGGCCCAGCTTCCCCAGTGCAGCTGGCCAGCCATGGAGCATGCAGACAGTGAAATGCAAATAGCCTTTTATTTGTAGATATATTTTAAAAGATTTTATTTATTTATTCGAGAGAGAGGGAGAGAGAGAGTGCACAAGCAGGCGGAGGGGCAGAGGGAGAAACAGACTCACTGCTAAGCTGGGAGCCCAATGTGGGACTGGGTCCCAGGACCCTGGGATCATGACGTGAGCTGAAGGCAGATGCTTAATCAACTCAGCCACCCAGGCGCCCCACAAGCAGTCTTTTAAAAGAGGCAGCTTCAGGGCGCCTGGGTGGCTCAGTCGTTAAGCGTCTGCCTTCGGCTCAGGTCATGTTCCCAGGGTCCTGGGATCGAGCCCCGCATTGGGCTCCCTGCTCAGCGGGAAGCCTGCTTCTCCCTCTCCCACTCCCCCTGCTTGTGTTCCTGCTCTCGCTGTGTCTCTCCCTGTCAAATAAATAAATAAAATCTTTAAAAAATAAAAAAATGAAAAAAATAAAAGAGGCAGCTTCAAGTCTGCTAAGTGTGGCCTTTAGGAGGTAGCAGGTGTAAAACGTTGAAGTAGCTTTAGGTTGTCCAAGATACATTGTTAAATGAGATAGCAAAGTACTGATCTGTATACAGAATATGACTTTATTTTTACTACAGAAAGCAGCTTGTACAGGAACATGTTTTAACATATAGACACTCCGTGGAGTCCATATGCACAAGCCATTCTAAAAGGATGCTATACTGCAAACTTTGTTTTTCTCCAGGAGATTTAATTATCTGAGACTTTTGCCATACTACTTTATAACTGTATATGGGATAGGACTCCTTCAATAAAAGATAGAAAACATTTTATACTTCCGTTTCTTTTTTTTTTTTTTTTAAAGATTTTATTTATTTATTTGACAGAGAGAGACATAGTGAGAGCAGGAACACAAGCAGGGGGAGCGGGAGAGGGAGAAGCAGGCTTCCCGCCGAGCAGGGAGCCCGATGTGGGGCTCGATCCCAGGACCCTGGGATCATGACCTGAGCCGAAGGCAGACGCTTAACGACTGAGCCACCCAGGCGCCCATACTTTCGTTTCTATTAGGAAAACAAATATGTACTGACTCAGTTTCTTGTTTTTCTCTTTGTTTTTGTTTTTGCCAACTTCAGTTTTAAAAGTCTACAGATTTAGACAGAATGTCTGCTAATCACAAGAAATGCAGGTACATGCTTCTGTACAACACAGCAGAAAACCGGTGGAAATTTCTTGAATATGTGTTAGAATCATGTGGAAGCTTGTTAAGACACGGACACTTGGGCCTGATCCACAAAGTGCCTGATTCAGTAGATCTGGGTTCAGGATTCAGAATGCGCTTTTCAAGAGTCCCTAGGTGACACTCTGGGTGAAGGTCCAGGGATCAAACTCTGAAAATCACAATTCTAGGAAAGGTGACGTTGACTGGTTCCAGGCCCCACCCAGTCCACCTCAGTGGAGATTTGCAGGCTCTGAGAGACAGAGCCAGGATTTCTCACCCACATGCCCTGAGTGTATCTGTAGTAAGCCAAGTAAAGGAAAGGTCAACTGGCCTCGAGTCCCAGGCCATCCACCGCTGAGACCTGTGAAGCCTGCATTGACTGAATAACCTAGAAAACTGCTTTATTCTGCCCAGAACTTACTGCAAACATATCCACGAGGTTCATCCCTTACAATTTCAAGTGTTTTCTCCTCTTATTAAGGAGGTCTCTCTTATTGGGCTGAGTAATATTACATCCCATACTTTACCTCTCAGGAGACTCACCTTGTCTTCCCCTTCCACTTTGTCTGCTACATTCTAGCATAGCACATATTTCTTTAGTTACTCTTTTCTGTTCCTGGTCTTTCTTCCTTGAAAAACAACACAAGTCCCAGAATGCAAGGGTCTTTGTCTATCTTAGGACCCAATGTCCTCCAGGCACCTACAATAAGTGCCTAAAACCAAATTTTTGTTCACTGATCATCAGCGAGACCAGGAATAAACATGACATCTCAATTTCCCTGTAAATTTTACAATTCTGGGTACTCTAAATGTCCTCTTTAACTCTTTTCCATGCAGGTATTGCTCAGACTTTACAAGAATGGAGATTTGCATTTTGGAGACAAAATTTCAGAATGACCAACCTGGTCACACGCTCAGCCCGATCTGACGTGTTCTCAGCCATCACTGCTAAAACTCCTCTGAGGTCTTACGTTTTCTCACCTTCTACAGATGTTTCACCAAAGCTATTTCTGCCACCACCTTTGAAGCACTACACAAACATTGATAATAGCTTTGTAATTTGAATTTTACAACTGTTTTCCTGAGATATTACTTTTTCAAGCAAAACAGTCCCTGCAGCATCACGACAGAAATGATAATCAGTTTGCAGCAGTGAAATAATGAATTTAAGATACTCCCAGTATCTCCAGGTACAAAGAATCATTTACATACATGCTTCAACGTGGAACACTGCAGCCACTGTACCATATGAAAGTAGCATTTTTCTCATTATTGTCTTTTTAAGATTGATGTTATGTTCCTAAAAGGATATCAAGTAAGTCATATTAAATGGATAAAAGTGTTTCTCAGGGAATGGGACAGATTAGTTGACTCTACAGGAAGGAGAGATGTTTTAGTCAGAATACACAGCTCTGTTAGAGAAAAATTATTGGGGCGCCTGGATGGCTCAGTTGGTTAGGTGTCTGCCTTTGGATCAGGTCATGATCTCAGGGCCCTGAGATCCAGCCCCGCATCGAGCTCCCAGCTCAGTGGGGACTCAGCTCACGCTCTCTCTCTCTGTGTCTCAAATAAATAAACAAAATCTCAAAAAGAAGATAAAAATTATTAAGACAGTTGTTGAGACAGTCACAAAGCCTTTATTCAGGAGCATTCCCCCAGGTGCAAGGACAGTGGGAACCTGCAGTATGGGGAAGACACATTGGACTCAACTTCAGATTTTTTTAAAAGTTGGGCTTTATAGCCAAGGAACACAGTTATTGGCGGGGGACGGGGCGGGGGATCAATGGACAGAAAATCACTAGGAGATTAGGGAAATTCCTCCTAAACTGACCTAAAAAATCCTTGCTGAAGGCAGGTCAGTATGATCACGGATCACCTGCGTGATGGTGAGGGATGAGGAAATTTGATCACATATCAGTGGTGATCAGATATTCGGGAGAAAATCTTGCCAAACCTACTTGGCAGGATTCTGGCACTTGCCAAGTACTGGGGCAGGTCCAAAAAAAAAAAAAAAAAAAAGCCTATAGTGCCCTAACTAAAGACTAGTCAAGGAGCGACTCTGTCATATCTATCCTTGTACTTGTGATTCCAGGTGGCCTAACACCATTCCCCTTAACTTTCTTGACATGGCACAACCTGGAGTATTTTCTCTCTTGATCAAGTGAATTTAATGCTATGGAGTGAACGCATTCGAATTGAAATAAGATAATGTTTATTAGCCTCCACCAAGCGTGGACACACCTTGCGAATGAAAGACGCTACGGAATGATGTGTTTATTTGGTTTGTAGCCTTTGGGAGCATCAAAAATATTACTGGCCTTCGGGAGCATGCTTAGCTTTCCAGGGTCTGAAATAGGTCTCCAAACACTTGGGTGATGAGCGCCAGAGAGCATTAGGCAGAAATATGGTAACATTCTCTCAAATATGAAGCGAAGCCCGACAGCATCGGCCTTTTCCCTTCGCCCTTTCCGGCGGACCCCGGACCTTCCCTGAAGGATGAACCTGACTCCGGGCCTCCTAACTGTGGGGACTACGTTACCCAGAATGCAAAGAGTCGAGGGGCAGCACTGCTCTCCAATGAAAGCTTCAAAGAGGCTCTTCCGTTTGTGGCCGGTACAGTGCGGGCGGGACTTCCGGCTGTCGCCTCGGCTCGGCCAAATTAGCTAGCGGATCTGGGTTTTGCTCACCTGGAAGAAGGTTCGGGAGTTATCATCCATACGGACTTGACACGAGCGAGAAGGGGCGAGAGGAGACGCGGGCCCTGCGGCACGGTTGCGGGTCCGGGGTTGCGTGACGCTGCCCGGGCTGCCCCGCGCCGAGCCCGGGGGTCCGCTCCGCTCCCCCAGTCCGATGGCGCCGGCCGCGCGCAGGGCCCCGGCTCAGGTAAGCGCTCGTCCCCCGGGCCCTCCCCGCCCGCTCCCCGCCGAGACCCTGAGGGCCGAGCGCGGGGCGCCTGCTCGCGTCCCTGCGGCCCAGGCCCCGGCGTCCGGGCTCCCGTCGAGGGGCACGTCCCAAGGGGCGACACTGAGCGCCGAGGCACAGAGCTTGAACTGCCAGCCCGCCGGCCCGTAGTCTCCAGGGCCGGGCGAGGATCCAGGGAGCTCTGGGTCCGTGGAGCCCGCCGCGGCTTGTTGGTCCAGGGCTGGGCTGGCCTCTCCCCACTTCCCGCCGCCGCGGAAGCGCTGACGGAACCAACACGAGCCAGTGGGAGGTGGCGCAGCCCCGCCCTGGCCCTGCCCCGCCCCCCCGCTCGCCTCTGCCTTGTTGTGTCCCGGGACTCTTCATGCCGTCCCCCAAGTCTTGGGTCTGGAGACCCTGGAGAAACCCCAAGCCCGTGCCAAGCGTTTCTGGCAACCGGTGTGTGCACGGTCATTCCGGACACTCGGAGCGGGGCGCGCACGGGCCGCAGCTGACACGCAGCTGGAACTGTTCTTGCGGGTGGGAGCGAAGAGCAGAGGGACAGCGGCCAGGGCCGGAACGACGGCCTGAGAAGGTGGGTGTCCTTGGGGCGGTAACGGGAGGCTTGGCTGGGAGCAGCCACGCGATGGTCCCGAGGTCCTGACAGGACCCATCCTGTGCGGCGTGAGGCGAAGACGGTGGGCTGAGGGAGGAGGCAGGAAGATCAGGGTGGCGGCTGCCGCCGTAGTCGAGGTGAGGGTCATTGGGCCGGAGTGCTGGCTCGGATGCCATTGGATTCTGGACATGTGTTTCTCAAAAAGTGACCACTGATCTTCCAGTGTGGACTGAGACGGGGTGAAAGGGAGGATTCAGGGATATCTCGAGGGTGTCCGTTCTTGGCAGCTGTGGGAATGGAAGCTCCATGACTGAGATGAGGAAGCTGGGGGTGTGAGTGACGCTGGTGGGAGACGTTCTGGAGAGCACTGACCGGATGCATTAAGTGAGCAGCCAAACACACAGGTCTGGGAATCTGGGGAGGGCTTCAGAAGGGAGACATCTAAATGCACCATGGCCACTGTGTGGGCCCAGGTGCGTGAGCTGTGGGTCACAGTTGTGAGGAACAGTCTTCTGGTTACGCTGGCAAAGCTGGTTCTGGTGCCAGAAAGTTGTGGGAGGAAGGGGGACCAGGACTGGGTACGTAGGTGACGGTGTGACTTCAGAGATGAGGGACGTGGCTGGCCACGGAGGGAGAGTGCGTCGGGGACGGGATACTCGGGCAGGTGGCCAGGGTTTCCAGCGGAAGAGTAGACGTGAGAGGGATCCAGAAGTTTAGGAGTCCTTAAGGCAAGATGAGGACACTCAGGCCTGTGCTGGTGGCGCTTCTCCACTCTGAACTCCACCAGGGTTTTGTGAGGACTTTGGTAGGACCTGGGGTGTTTCATCCTGGAGGAATAAGGTCGTGGGTGACGTGCTGACGTGATCACCCGTGAGCGACACTAAGCCTGGGGTAGGCCACCGAGGAGCCTTGCTTTGGATGAGGGCCAGGGGGACAGAGGAAGACTGTGATTGCTGAGGGGACAACAGGTGCAGCACACGTGGAGGAGAACCTTGTCTGGTGAAAGGTGGAGGAGCTCGTGGCCCGAGTGTAAGATCTCCTCCCACTCTTCTGCTGTTGGGAAGGTCTCCTGATCAAACAACCTTTTCATCAAAGGTGCATTTCCTGCTTTTCCCTTTGTATGGGTTTCAGTGCCCTACCAGCCCACAGAGTTACACATCCTCGTACGGGAACCGGGAGGCACCTCACCCTCTTGATCCTATGAAGCGTGCGTCCTACAGCTCCTGGTCGTTCACTCTTTTTCAGAGTGCCACCCCCATGTGGGCCTGTGTGGGGTGTGGTGTCCTCCTCTCCCAGGCTGTGAATTTCTGTGATGACTAAAGTGCTATCCAACTCATCTGTCCAGTGTTAGGTGTTCTGTGTTTAGCCATCCCCATAATCCTAAGAAGGGACTCCCGCCCTCCCCAGTGGGGTGAAGCAGAGGTGATTAAAATACCAGTAACATGTGGGGAGGCCATGGAGGTTTCTGTGGTGTGGGACAGTGAGGTGTGGTGACCACAGGCATGTGGCTGTGGGGTCCAGTCTCAAGAATGATGTGTCCTTGGAGAGGGAGTATGCCTGATTGACGCCAGGGCCCTGGTTTTCAGCAGAATAACCCGGATGGCCAGGAAGATCCCTCTACGCCAGGTCCACAACTTAGATATATACTTGTCCACCTGCCTCTTCTTGTGTCAGCGGGACCCTGCGATCGGTGGGCCACGAGGAGACAGTGGTGCCGTGGCACCCAGGCACTGGGGCCTGGTTTCTCCTCTCGGTTGGGGAGATCAGGGGGAGGATGGGCATAGGGTAGATGTGGGTGGGAAAAGGGATATGGGTTCTTGGGAGAGGGGCTTTTTGTGGTTTCATCTGTCCCCATCCTGCCAGGGTAGGGTGACCTTTGAAGACGTGGCCGTGTACTTCTCCTGGGAGGAATGGGGTCTCCTTGATGAGGCTCAGAGATGTCTGTACCAGGATGTGATGCTGGAGAACTTGGCACTTATAACCTCCTTGGGTAAGACCCTCAACCCCACCCCCGTGCCCTGAGCTAGTCTCTGCCCTTCCCTTTGTGCCCAGCAGCAGTCTGTCTTTACATAGGGACCATGAGCACTGCTTCCTTCCCCAGTTCCTGGGGTAGGTGCTGTGGTTGGTAAGGCTGAGGTCAGTGCACTGCCCTCCTTCCTTGAGCAGCCCCAACACCAGCTTTCCTGCTGACTTTCAAGGAAGGGATCAGGGTCAGGAGTCTTGCAGTGAACCTAATGGATAGCCCCTTACTTGCCCTCTCCCTGACCGGGTGACTTTGTCTCGATGCAAGATATCTGCATGCTCCACGTCTGCTTCCTTTCTCTACTGAGGCTTCCCTGTGCCTCCCTGCGCCAGGACTTGCTGTCTGTGACAAAGTTACTACATCTGTGGACCATGGGCTGTTCTCATGAGACCCTCTTCCCGACCTCTCTGGGAACTGTTTAGTTCTCTTTGCCATGGGCTGGCATGTGCTGAGTCGTTCTGGGATACCGATGGCTACTCATCTGTCCTCTCCTTTCCTTAGCACTTGTATCATGAAGTTGCCATGCACTTGCTGATTGTGGGAGTGGGGTTGGATTGGAGAGCCCAGGGTGGTTCACAGTAGGTACACTGACCCACGCACAACACGACAGCCCGGAGGAAGCCAGGCCCTGCAAAGTGGTACCTGGAGGAAGATGATGTCAGTGCTGTGTTCAGATCAGACCAGAAGCCTCTTCTGTTTGACTGGTATTATGATGCCAGGGGCCACATTTCATTTCCGTCTTCTCTTCCCCTTTCTTGGCACTCTGCCGATTTGTCAACTCTGTTACTTGTCGCTTCTACTCTTACTTCTGGCCTGGGGTTAACATCACATTTCTGGGATCCACATCTCCCTCGTTTTTCTCACCATTCCACCTACAGCGCTTTGCACATTGGCCGCTCTACAGTACGTCGTGAGGTGTGCCCTGTTCTTAAGCAGTCCTGAACACCCCCTGCCAGGTTACAGTCCTATTTCCTTGGGTCTTGTCACTCCCTTCTGCACGGAAAAGGTGTGTCCATAGGAGATAAGTTCCTTTGGAAAGTTGCTTGCAGAGGAATGCATTGCAGACCGTTTCTCTTCTCTGTGTCACACCACGTGCTTGCATCCTTCTCCTCATGAGGCCTCTCCCATTCTGTGCTCCTTGTAGCCTGCTACTGCTAAGCAGCCCCAGCCTCCACCTGCGCCATCTCCCTGGTCCTGCAAACAATCCCAAGCACTGGTTCCTGGGTTTCTTAGACACACGTTTGTAGCTCGTAGAGTAGCTGCCCCCTCCCACCAAAGGCAGCATGCACTTCACCAGCATTTCTTGCTTTCAGGTTGTAGGCATGGTGCGGAGGATGAGGAGGCACCCGAGCAGAAGGTTTCTGTACAAGGCGTGCCCCAGGTCAGGACTTTCAAGGCAGTCGTGTCTCCCCAGAAGGCCCATCCTTGTGAGGTGTGTGGCCACGACTTGAGAGACCTTTTGCTCTCCACCGAGCACCAGGCAACACTTTGTGGACAGAACCTCTACAAGACTGGGGCATGTGAGAAACAGTTGTGTTTTGATGCAAACCTTCAGCACCAGAAGGAGCACATTGGAGAGAAATGCTTCAGAAGCAACACGGGCAGAGCTGCTTTTGTGAAGGACTACAAATTGTGTGTGTCAGGGAAACCCTTTTCCTGCGGGGAGGTTGTCAGGGACATCTTGGCCACCTCGAGATTCTTCCAGCAGCAGGCCACACACAGCAGGGAGAAGTCATACAGGACGACGGAGTATGGGGCATCCTCTCGTGGAAGGAAAGCGCAACACAACTGGGGAGAAGGCACAGAGGACTTGACTTGCAAACACATGCTTGTTCACCACCAGAGAGACCTCGCTAGAGAGAGATGCTTCATGTGCAGTGAATGTGGGAAATCTTTTAGCAAAAGCTACAGCCTCAGTGACCACTGGAGAGTGCACACTGGGGAAAAGCCTTATGAGTGTGGGGAATGTGGGAAGTCCTTCAGGCAGAGCTCTAGCCTCATTCAGCACCGGAGAGTTCACACTGGAGCAAGGCCTCACGAGTGTGACGAATGTGGCAAACTATTTAGTAACAAGTCTAACCTCATTAAACATCAGAGAATTCACACTGGAGAACGGCCGTATGAGTGCAGTGAATGTGGGAAATCCTTCAGCGAAAGCTCTGCGCTCCTCCAACACCGCAGTGTTCACACTGGAGAAAGGCCTTATGAGTGCAGTGAATGTGGGAAATTCTTTACCTACCACTCCAGTCTCATAAAACACCAGAGAGTTCACTCGGGATCAAGGCCCTATGAGTGCAGTGAATGTGGAAAATCCTTTACTCAAAACTCCAGCCTCATTGAACACCGTAGAGTTCATAGTGGAGAAAGGCCTTATAAGTGCAGCGAATGTGAGAAATCTTTTAGCCAAAGCTCCGCGCTGCTTCAACATCGGAGAGTTCACACTGGAGAAAGGCCTTATGAGTGCAGCGAATGTGGGAAATTCTTTACTTACAGTTCCAGTCTCCTCAAACACCAGAGAGTACATACTGGGTCAAGGCCTTATGAGTGCAGTGAATGTGGGAAATCCTTTACTCAAAACTCCAGTCTCATTAAACACAGGAGAATTCACACTGGAGAAAGACCTTACGAGTGCAGCGAATGTGGGAAATCCTTTAGCCACAGTTCTAGCCTCATTAAGCACCGAAAAGTGCACTCTGGAGAAAGGCTTTAGGAGGACAGTGACTTTGGGAAACGCTCACCTGTCTTCCATTTCAATGACCATTCACATATTCACACTGAAACAAAAAAACTTTATGAGTATTTGAACGTGGGATGTTCTTTACCTATGAGTCCAAGCTCCTAAAACACCACAGTGTCTCCGTAGATGAAGGCCTGTGAATGTGAAGAATGTGGGAAATGGCTAACCAAAGGCTAGCCCCATTGCTCTCCAGAGAACTCATGGTAGTGAAAGGCCTTACAGATGCAGTGAATATGAGAAAGCCTTCATCTGAAGGACTTTACCTCATAGGACTTCACAAATTTCAAATGGGAGAACTACCTTAAATGTGCAGGTATTTAATTGATGAATGTAACCACACAGGAGGAGATCCCTTAGGAAGGTGCCATCTGCCTGTGTTGAAGCTCATACATTCAAACATCTGCATAAATCCCAGATATGTGGCTGCTGCCTTGCAGTCTTTGAACCTGCCCAGGGGCCATGCCTCAGTGTCAGGGCAATTGCTGGATCACTAATGAATACCCTGAGCGCTTACTCCTTCCCCGTTTTTCCTCTCCGAGGAGAGGGCATGCATGTCACCCAGTTTTGTCCTGCAGGACTGCTGGTGATTTGAAAAGGTGGACGACAGGGGCGCCTGGGTGGCTCAGTCGTTAAGCGTCTGCCTTCGGCTCAGATCGTGGTCCTAGGGTCCTGGGATCGAGCCCCATGTCGGGCTCCCTGCTCAGCGGGAAGCCGGCTTCTCCCTCTCCCACTTCCCCTGCTTGTGTTCCCTCTCTCGCTGTCTCTCTCTCTCTCTACCAAAAAATGAATAAAATCTTAAAAAAAAAAAAAGGTGGACATTTTTCAGGGATGTTATTATCCTCGTGAGACTCTGTGATGGCATTTCCCAGCCTCCAAATCACCAACCCGGGAACAGTCTGCCTCCTGTTGCTCTTGCTGTATGACAATAAAGATCTTATTTTTTAAGCCACCATTAATCTTGGGGATTCTGTTCAGTGTGTGTGTGTGTGTGTGTGTGTGTTGAAATTAACTGTGTTTGCGAGCAAGAAGGGGTGAACAGAGTTGTGTGCCTCAGAAGGGACCATATGATGGCAGAAGATAACTCTCCAGTTTGGGCCTACTTTGCATGGCTGCTCAAAGCCTTTAAGGAAAGACTGGAGGGCTCTGTGGTCCTAATTTATACTTGGATGCCAAGTGTGGGGTCAGAGTTTCAACCCGAAGAGGGGGCAGTTGTTGGTTGTTGTTTTGACAACCTTCAGTGCTTCTGAGCGGCATGGTCTTGTTCTCTTGTTCACAGGGGATATTGATGGCATGGTACTCGGGGCTGGTGAAGGAAATCTCTTCCCCAGACCCAGCAGCAGAGCCAGGGGCCTTGATGTCCTGAATTCTGTAGAGTAACATCACTGGTTTTAAGATTATAAGGGCCAGGGGAATGATTGTTGGTACAGAAACCCTGAATTAATAGAGAGTGCAGGAGACCAGTGAACGAGTTGGAATGTACCTCTCACAGTGTTTAGGCACTAGGACTGTGAAGGACGAGCAGGTCGAGATATTCTCAGGACCTACACAAGGATGTATCTTGTGCAGCTGAGGGCCTGTCAGAAAAAAATAATCTAAAGGTTTTGCGGATTCCTTGTTCCCTCTGGGCTGTTCACCAAAGGCCATGGTTTTGCATGGTAGCAAAGCAAGGACAGAGACGGGAGAGATCTCTTAGTGCAGCCGAGAGGCCTTTTGTGACTCAGCCGGTATCCCTGTTGAATGAACTCGGAATACCTTCATTGCTCACCTATTTTTGCAAATGCCTTCTGATGAGGAGAAAGATGGTAGAGTCAGTATGGTGGCCAAACTTAATTTTCTGAGGAATAGGGAATCCAGACTTAATTTTAACCATATTTTTTTAAGTTTCAGTAAGGTACAAATGACATGCAATGTCCGTCATTAAATTGTGCAATTTGACATTTTGACTTTCACATAAACCCATGAAGCCATCAATCATGATAATAAACCTTTCCATCACCCCCACATTTACTTTTTGTCTTTTAATAATGTCTCCTCAAGGCATCCATTGACTTGCTTTTCATTATAGTAGATGAGCTTGCATTTTCTAGAATTTATATGATTGGAGTCTTTTTTTTTTTTTTAAAGATTTTTTATTTATTTATTTGAGAGAGAAAATGAGAGAGAGCACATGAGAGGGGGGAGGGTCAGAGGGAGAAGCAGACTCCCCGCCGAGCAGGGAGCCCGATGCGGGACTCGATCCCGGGACTCCAGGATCATGACCTGAGCCGAAGGCAGTCGCTTAACCCAACAGCCACCCAGGCGCCCTATATGATTGGAGTCTTAAAAGTGTTTTTTTTTAAAAGATTTTGACAGAGACACAGCGAGAGAGGGAACACAAGCAGGGGGAGTGGGAGAGGGATAAGTAGGCTTCCTACTGAGCAGGGAGCCCGATGCAGCTTTGATCCCAGGACCCTGGGATCTTGATCCAAGCCGAGGGCAGACATTTAATAACTGAGCCACCCAGGCACCACTTAAAAGTGTTTCATCCTCCTTTCCTTATGTCCCCTTATGTGACTTTTTTTTTTAAATCTGTGGTGCTTAAATGAGCAGTTCATTCTTTATATCTTCGAGAAGTATGTTCTATCGATATAGCACTATTTCTGTATTCATCTCTTTATCATTATTTTGTTTCCAGTTTGGCGGGCTGCAAGTAAAACTGCTGCAGAAGGGGTGCCTGGGTTGTCTCTTGGGTTAAGCGTTTGAAATCTTGACCTCAGCTCAGGTCATGATCTCAGGGTTGTGAGATCAAGCCCAGTGAGCCCAGCATTGGGCCCTGCCCTGGGTGTGGAGACTGCTTAAGATTCCCTCTCTCCCTCTGCCCCAGCTTCCCTCCGTCCACCACTCCCTCCCATGCACTGTGGTGCTTTCTGGATAGATAAGTAAATGAATAAAAATTTTAAATATGACAAAATGTCATTAATGCTCCATTTTCTCAATGTGACTCAAAAGTGTTGTTTCTTCAGCCATATGTATTACAATTAGGATCCAGAACATATCCTGATGCCCTACAGTAGCTGTCTCAAATGTCTGTTAACCCACAGGTCCTACTTGCCTTGTTATTATTTGTTGACATTGCTGAGGCCTTTGCTCATTAGATTGCCACGTTCTGGGTGCTGCTTGCTGAGTCTCTGACACTGTCCAACTGATCACCCTCACCCATAATCCTGCACACTAACTAGTGAGGAGATGGGTGATGACGTTTGTCCCTGCAGGTGTGTGTGGTGGGGACTGTTGGGGCTGTAAAACAGAATCATCCTCTCCACACTCCATCTGCCTCTATCCACCTGGAGATAACATCATATTGCACAGGTTAAGGGCTCAGTCCCACAGGATGACTGTCCCCTTCAGATGCCAGTCACAAATCCAGGTGGTCCCTGTGCTTCAGACTGACTGGCTGTAAATCAGAGGTTCTCCCGACCCCTCTTCTCACTCGATTATCGTGCTGGGATGGCTCACAGAACCCTGGGAGGTATGTTTACAGGCAGATGAAGAAGTGCATGGGGTGAGGTGCAGAAGGGTCTCTGGTGCAGGGGCTTCTGTCCTCGTGGAACTTCAGTGTGCCACCCACAGGGATATTTACAGATCTGGAGGCTCCTCGACTGTTCTTGTTTAGGAGTTTTTATAGAGCTTCAATCTCTAGCTCCAGCCCCCGGAGGTCAGTGGTAGGGCTAAAAGTTCCAAGCCTCTAACCCCAATGTTTCTGATGACCACTCCCCATCCTGATTCTATTTAGGGCCCCCACCCTAACACACTTCTTTAGCATAAATTCAGGTGTGCTCAAAAGGGGGCTCCTTATGAATGACACAAGATACTCCTATCACTCAGGAGGTAACAAGGGTTGTAGGCTCTCTGTGCCAGGAACAGGGCACAGGGGACCAAGACCAAATATATTTCTTTTTATACCACATTATTGAGTAAGTATTAAGCCAGACTGTGATGTGCATCAGAAATCAGCTAGCTAAGAAATTACAAAGACTTGCAGGAAAAAAATCTCACCCTATTATACAGAAAGCAGATAGAACCCATTATATACATATTTAGAAGATAAATAGAACCTGTTCTCTAGTAAGGTCACCTGAAAGCATCATTTGTCACACAGAGTTTATCCTAACTTTATGTTTGTAATTGGGGTGACTATGTGTGTTAGTTTATTGACATTATCCAGAGGAAAAAGAAACTTACTTGCATGACAGTACTTTTTGGAATTAAACAATATAGGTCATGAACGCAGGAGTAACGGAGCCCTAGGGGCCAAAGGCCTATGTAGTCTTCAAAGGGATCAGGAGGTGCTTATAGATTCTCTATAGTAAATGTTGTGACAAAAGGGAGGGGGAGTCTCTCCCCTTTATCAACAGGGAGAATTAAGCCTCTTCTTTTTTTTTTTAATGTTTTATTTATTTATTCATGAGAGTCAGAGAGAGAGAGAGAGGCAGAGGCAGAGGGAAAAGCAGGCTCCCTGCCTAGCAGGGAGCCCGATGCGGGACTTGATCCCAGGACCCTGGGATCATGACCTGAACCGAAGGCAGACGTGTAACGACTGAGCCACCCAGGCGCCCTAAGCCTATTTCTAACCTTTATTTCACATAACTGAAAACACAGAGTATAGCTGACATCTACCTAAGAAAATACTCTACCTAAATAATCTTTCAGGTAGGCAACTTAAGAGTCTAATTTGCATTAGGAAGCCTGTTTGTAACAAGTATAGAAAGAGGGCCACTGGTTAACGAGAATTTTCTTTTCTTTTTTTCCTGTGTATAAACAGTATTTGCAGGGTCCACGTAGGAACTCTGGCATTAGGTACTTTATGATAAGCTTAAAACTTCCTCCCCGGTACTTCCTTTTCAACTCTCTCTCTTTTTTTTTTTAAGATTTTATTTATTTGACAGAGAGAGACACAGCGAGAGAGGGAACACAAGCAGGGGGAGTGGGAAAGGGAGAAGCAGGCTTCCCGCGGAGCAGGGAGCCCGATGCAGGGTTCGATCCCAGGACCCTGGATCATGACCTGAGCTGAAGGCAGACGCTTAATGACTGAGCCACCCAGGCACCCCAACTCTGTCTCTCTTTATCCTATTTGTAGACGTCCTTTCCTTAGCTTTCCTTCCATCTGCAGAATTCTGAGCTGGCTAAAATTCTTAAGTGTCACTTGAGTACATACCTTTGTGCAGGAGACACATATCTGGAAAATGGACACTCAACTTGGTTTTGTTAAAATCTGTGGAATTGTCAAAAGACTTCTCAAATCCCACATTGGAAAAGAAAAATCTGGGGCACCTGGGTGGCTCAGTCAGTTAAGCGTCTGCCTTTGGCTCAGGTCATGATCTTGGGGTCCTGGGATCAAGCCCCGCACTGGGCTCCCGCTCAGCAGAGAGCCTGCTTCTCCCTCTCTGCCTGCTGCTCTCCCTGCTTGTGCTCACTCTCTCTCTCAAATAAACAGACTTAAAAAAAAAAAAGAAAAATTTGTTAAATCATTCATTTTTCTCCTCTGCACACAAAAAGAGGAATCAATCTCTCCATCTTTGATTGAACCAAGAGATGCAAAAACATTATTGGAATAAGTATAAAGACCTAATCTGAAAAGGATTTGAAAGTTAATGAAAATTTAAGGCTTAAGATGAAATGAAAAATAAAACTTACTACAAGTCTGCTTATTGATAGTATAACATAAAAAAGGAGCACCTTAACATAGCATAAAAGAAAGGTAACTACTAATTTTCTAATGCTTTACAAGGGATGAGCTCTTTATACTGCCAAAGAGAAGAATCAGGCTCACAGTTGTTTTACAAGAAAAAATTCTTTTTTTTTTTTAAAGATTTTATTTATTTATTCATGAGAGAGAGAGGCAGAGGGAGAAGCAGGCTCCCAAGGAGCAGAGAGCCCGATGCGGGACTCGATCCCAGGACCCTGGGATCATGACCTGAGCCGAAGGCAGACGCTTAACCATCTGAGCCACCCAGGCGCCCCACAAGAAAAAATTCTTAAGCTGTGATTCTGAATCATCGCCTTACTTCTAGATCATTAAATAAGCACCACCCTTCTCAGGAACTTTCTCTTTGTAATGTTCTTCCCAATACTAGACTTAGTAAATTACTGCACAATAATCATTCCAGACATAAAAAAAATATATTCTCAAGGAATGTTTTCATCACCCTCAGACTAGTTCTTCTTGTACTTGATCATATTCACCTAGTTGCCCTTCCAGCATTTATAGTAATTTAAATTTTGTAATAATTTGTATAGATGTAGGCTTACAGACTGTGTACCCAAAGGCTTACAGACTTTAGCTTTTTAAAAAAATTGTGCTAAAGCTACTAGGCATGCAGGAAAGATTTTTAAAAGGTGAACATATTGGGTGCCTGGGTAGCTCAGTTGGTTAAGCAACTGCCTTCAGCTCCTGTCATGATCCTGGAGTTCCAGGATCGAGTCCTGCATCGGGCTCCCTGCCCAGTGGGAAGCCTGCTTCTCCCTCTCCCACTCTCCCTGCTGTGTTTCTTTTGTCAAGTAAATAAATAAAATCTTTAAAAAAAGTTAAAAAATTTTAAAATGCAGAGAAATTGGGATTTGTAAACTTCTGAAGAAGTAACTTTGAAACATTAATGTTTTATTTGACAAATGGAAGGTAGAGAAGTCTGTGTTAAGTATCAGGAGGTATAGTTGATACATGTTAGTACTGTAAATAGACATCTGCATTATTCAAGGGCAACTCAGGATTTCAAATTACAGAAGAAATATTAAACTATATAAAAATATTAACACCTTAACTAATTCTTCAGTGAACAAAAGAGGTAAGGTGAATACTCAAAAGACTCATGTAATAAAAGCCATACAACTGGTATCATGATTGCATTCAATCTGCCTTCAACAGCTAATTCCATGAATAAAATTTAGCACTAACATTTATATTTAAAAATATTTTTTGTGCATTCAAGTTATCAGAGTTATTAGAGTCCTGACATTTTGGAAATTCTTTTTTTTTTTTTTAAAGATTTTATTTATTGGGCGCCTGGGTGGCTCAGTTGGTTAAGCGACTGCCTTCGGCTCAGGTCATGATCCTGGAGTCCCGGGATCGAGTCCCGCATCGGGCTCCCTGCTCGGCGGGGAGTCTGCTTCTCCCTCTCCCACTCCCCGTTTGTGTTCCCTCTCTCGCTGTGTCTTTCTCTGTCAAATAAATAAATAAAATTTAAAAAAAAAAATTTTTTTTAAAAAAAGATTTTATTTATTTATTTGACAGGGAGAGGGAACACAAGCAGGGGGAGTAGGAGAGAGAGAAGCAGGCTTCCCGCGGAGCAGGGAGCCCGATGCGGGGCTTGATCCCAGGACCCTGGGATCATGACCTGAGCCGAAGGCAGACGCTTAACGACTGAGCCACCCAGGCGCCCCAGACATTTTGGAAATTAAGAGGTTATGCACTGACACCCAGTAGTATGCATGGGGATTCAAGACCAACCATGAAAATTATAATGATGGAAGACTGTGATAGGGTTAATGGGACTTCTTAACAGTCTTATTCACAGATATATATGTAAATAGCCATTACAAAAGCTAGAATATCTCCTTATATAATTTTAATTTTTTTTTAAGATTTTATTTTTTTTTTTATTTATTCATGAGAGACAGAGAGAGAGACAGAGGCAGAGGGAGAAGCAGGCTCCCCGCGGAGCAGGGAACCCGATGCAGGACTCGATCCCAGGACCCTGGGATCATGACCTGAGCCGAAGGCAGATGCTTAACCGACTGAGACGCCTGGGTGGCGTCATATAATAAAATTATATATGTTGAAAAAGATGAAAGGGCAGGAGGAACTTAGCTTCAGGGATGCAAGCATGTATGAAAACATCAAAATGTATATTTAAAATATGTGCAGTTTAAGTCAAGCATATTTATTTATTATTTATTTATTTGACAGAGAGAGACCAGCGAGAGAGGGAACACAAGCAGGGGGAGTGGGAGAGGCAGAAGCAGGCTTCCTGCTGAGCAGGGAGCCCAATGCAGGGCTTGATCCCAGGACCTGGGATCATGACCTGAGCTGAAGGCAGATGCTTAACGACTGAGCCACCCAGGAGCCCCTAAGTCAAGCATATTTAAATCACACACTTTTTACAAAACAAATATTTAGGGGCGCCTGGATGGCTCAGTTAGTTAAGCATCCAATTCTTGGTTTCCGTTCAGGTTGTGATCTCAGGATCGTGGGATCGAGCCTGTTGGGCTCTGTACTTAGCAGGGAGTCTGCTTCCCCCCTCGCTCTCCCTCTGCCCTTCCCCCCCCCCCACTTGTGCACATTCTCTCTCAAATAAATCTTTAAAAAACAAAACAAGTACAAGAACAAAAACAAAACCACCCACAAATACTTAAAACTTGCCACTTACTGGTCATTTTATGGTTTTATTACCTATTAAAGTTATCTGTGGCTACTGTATCAGTACTTTGGGAATAGAATTTAATGAGGTGCTACTGGAATATCTTACCAACTCCATGTTCAGTGACATCACCTTGGCAATTTGACATTTACCATGAGAATAACAGGGATTGCCAAAAACTAAAATCTAGGCTTGATTTAATGTGTTATTAAGATAGCAAAGAATATGTTAATGCAGATTAAACGCATAAGTCTGGTGCATGTGGGCTTTCAATTGGGAGGACAAAAATTTGAAAATCTTCTAGTACTCAAAAAGAATTGTTCCATATAATACTTAAGTACATAAAAAGAAAATAGGCAAAGATTATGGGCATACATTTTATCACGGAAGATAAACACAGAGCAAATAAATGACAAATGCTCAACATCATGAACACTTTGGGAAATGGAATTAAAACCAAAGTGACTTACCACTACACACTTATTTCAAGGATGTCACGGAACTTGACTTTTCATGTGCTAATGGTGGGAAGGCAAGAGAGAATAACCATTATAGATCACAGTTTCCCATTTCTTAAAATGTGAAACATTCACCTCCACTCTGTTTCAGTTATTACAACAAGAGAAATAAAACATATATCCACATAAAGAAGTGAATGTAAATATTCATAGCAGCTTTATTTGTAAATACCCCAAACCTGGAAATAACCTGTATGTCCAGAACAGATGCGTGGATAAAGTCATTATCGACAAAATAGAATGCTACTCATCAATAATACACAGAATTCTAACATTTCTCACATTTAAGGGTTTTCTCCAGTGTGTACTCTCCTGTGTCTAAGGAGGTTAGATTTGCGGCTAAAAGATTTCCCACATTCACTGCATTCATAAGGTCTTTCCCCAGTGTGAACTCTCTGGTGTTGAATGAGGTCAGATTTGTGGGTAAAGGGCTTCCCACATTCACTGCACTCATAAGGCCTTTCACCAGTGTGACCTCTCTGGTGTTGAATGAGGCTAGAACTTTGGCTAAAGGTCTTCCCACATTCACTGCATTCATAAGGCCTTTCTCCAGTGTGAACTCTCTGGTGTTGAATAAGGCTAGCACTTTGGCTAAAGGATTTCCCACACTCCCCACACTCATATGGCTTTTCTCCAGAATGAACTCTCCGGTGTTGAATAAGACCAGAGCGCTGCCTAAAAGATTTCTCACATTCGCTGCACTCATAAGGTCTTGTGCCAGTATGAATCCTCTGGTGTTGAATGAGGTCAGATTTTCGGGTAAAGGATTTTCCACATTCACTGCATTCATAAGGTCTTTCTCCAGTGTGAACTCTCTCATGTTGAATAAGGATAAATTTACGGCTAAAGGATTTCCCACAAACACTGCACTCATAAGGCCTTTCTCCAGTATGAACACTCCGGTGTCGAATGAGGTTAGAGAACTGTCTAAAGGACTTCCCACATTCACTGCACTCATAAGGCCTTTCTCCACTGTGAATTCTCTGGTGCTGAATGAGTTCAGATTTGCAGCTAAAAGATTTCCCACAATCACTACACTTGTAAGGCACTTCTCCAGTGTGAACTCTCCCATGTCGAATGAGGTTAAAGATTTGTCTAAAGGATTTCCCACATTCGCTGCAATTATATGGCCTTTCTCCAGTGTGAACTCTCCGGTGTCGGAAAAGGCTAGAGCTTTGTCTAAAGGATTTCCCACATTCACTACACTCATAAGGCCTTTCTCTAGTGTGAACTCTATGGTGTTCGATGAGGTTGGATTTGTAGCTGAAAGACTTCCCACATTCACCACAGCCATAATGCATTCCTCTAGTGTGTAGTCTCTGATGGTGAATGAGTTTAGATCTGTGGATAAAGACTTTTCCACATTCACTGCATTCGTAAGTTCTTTCTCTAGTGTGAATTCTCCAGTGTTCTATGAAACTGAAGTTATGGGTAAGAAATTGTCCACAATTTCTGCATCCATAAGCCTCTTTATCACTGTGAATTCTCCAGTCTTTAATAAGGCCAGAGATTTGGCTCAAGAATTTCCCACATTCACCACACTCATATGGCCTTTGTCCAATGTGAATTTGTTGGTGCTGCACAAGGCTGTAGTTCGAGCTGAAGGCTTTCCCACCTTTGCCACACTCATAAAGCCCTTCTCCAGAGCAAACACTCTGATGTTGATCAAGTCCATGGTTGTGGCAAACACTCTGATGTTGATCAAGTCCATGGTTGTGGCTGGCAGCTTTTTCACATTCACCCCCGTTGTACTGACTTTTTCCACTGTGAAAGGCCTCTCCACTCTGGTTGCCACGGTGTGGCTCCTCACTGTTGGGATTGGTCTGGAGCTGAAGATGTACCGAGGTCGCTGGGAAGTCCTCTCCAACCTTCCTACATGTGAAAGGCTGCCCTGACACACAGAAGTTGCAGCTTGTCACATACGAGGCCCTGTCCACATCTCTTTTCCAGGGCTTCTCCCAACTGCCATGCCTCTGTTCCTGGTGAAGGTCTGCATGGAAAGAGAAGCATCTCACACATGTGGCACCCAAGTATGGTTTCTACCAAGGGTATATTGTTGGTGCTGAGCATGGTGCAAAATATCTTTCAAGGCTGGGATACACATCTCACAGGGGTGGATCTTCTGTGTGGACAGACCTGCCTGAAAAGCCCTGACCTGGGACTCTCCTACAGACATAGTTTGCTCAGAAGGGGCCTCCTCATCTTCCATCCCATGCCTAAAACCTGAAAGCAGAAATGCTGAAGAAATGCATATTGACTTCGGTGGGAGGGGGAAGCCCCATTTCAAATGTGTGTCTGACACAACAAGTTGCATCCATGTGATTGTTATGAGAACAAGGCAGCTGGGGGCAGGTTGAGGTAGGGGCTGCTTGGTGGTATTGGGCCTCTGGAGAGACCAGAATAGGAGAGACCTCAACAGACAATACACAAGCATAAGGTGCACCACATGGAGGAGAGGTCCCTGCCTCCTCACTCCTCCTTCAGTAGGACCTTATGTGCTGGCAACATGGGCATGCTGTGTGGGAGGCTGGTTGTGGCCTGTCCCAATAAAATTCAACTGGACCTGAGTAGCTGGTTTAAGGACTGTGTAAGGATATGTGCACCCCTCATGACACCATGTGCAGGTCAATGTTGGAGGATATCGTAAAGGGAGCAGTGCAGAGGAACTGGTGGCCCGGGAAGGCCACAAAAGTGGAAAGAGCCAGAAGTCTCGGATGAAATGACAAGTCAGCCAACTGTTAAGTATGCAGAAGAAAAGGTAGAAACAATACATGGCTGGTGGTACCTGTACCAAAACACTACCGAACCCATGGCAAGTTCCTGGATGATCTGAACAAGGCCCTGACGTCATGCCCTCCCCCAGCTGCCACTCACAAGGGCCAGACCTCCTCTGAGACCATCTTGCCATGTCCACCCTGTAAAACCAGTGTTTTCCCTGCACTCTCCACTGTGTAACCCCTCAGAACCTGCATGACGCGAGTTTTAATGAAAGACGCACAGTGAGCAGCCACCGCCGGCCCTGTGCAACTTGTCATGCAGTAATATTCCGGAAAGAAAATGTAAAATACAATCGAAGGAGGGTCTTACAAGAACAGCCCATGGTCCATGTGAATAATGACCATGACCTGGCACAGGCAGTCACAAAGAACTGTCAGCTAGAGGAAGGGGGCAAAACTAGAAGCCAGGGATCTGGACACAGTCACCCTGCCAGGGAGAAGGCAAGGTGGGATCCATTAAGTTAACTTCAAGACTCCTGACTCCCAGACCCTCCTTACGTGTACTTTTTTTTTTTTTTTTAAGATTTTATTTATTTATTTGACAGAGAGAGAGACAGCGAGAGAGGGAACACAAGCGGGGGGAGTGGGAGAGGGAGAAGCAGGCTTCCTGCGGAGCAGGGAGCCCAATGTGGGACTCGATCCCAGGACCCTGGGATCATGACCTGAGCCGAAGGCAGTTGCTTAACAACTGAGCCACCCAGGCGCCCGCTCCCGTGTACTTTTTGAGCTAACAGGTGTCAGGGATGCTTGGGCAGTCCATTGCTCGGGGCACTATACACAGCTCAGCACGAGCACCCACAGCACACATAACAAGAAAGTGGTGGAAATTAGGAGAGCCCGTGGTCCAGCTGTGGGAAAGAAAGAGCCAACTCTGGGGAAGAAAGGAAAGGCAGGACGTCACCTCAGGACACAAGGAGCAATGTGACAATCTTACCCAGCGATGCTACAAGTGCAAAGTTCTCCAGCATCACATCGCAGTACAGGAGTCTCTGAGTTTCATCAAGGAGCCCCCATTCCTCCTGGGAGAAGTCAATGGCCACGTCCTCAAAATCCATACCCTGTCATAATGCGGACAGTTCATTCTATGATCAACATCTCTCCTAGGAGTCCACTTTCATTAGAACCCCCACCCCCCACATCCATCCTCAGCTCAGTCTACTCCACACCTCAGAGGAGATACCAGGCCTGGGTGTCCTTGGAGCCACTCTCTCCTCACGTTCCTACTGATACTGTGTCTTCCCACAACAGTAACAAGCAGATGGGCAGATAGAGGCTATCTGAACGGTGGACCTGGCCTGGTAGTCACGATGCCTCTTATCAGCATAGTCGGTGTCACAAACACAGGTTAGGGAGAGAAGCTAGCTCTAGGGAGGGCGTGCATGATCTGACTCTGGTCTTATCAGGCAATACCACCAAAGTCCCCAGATCATCCCTCCAAGATGCAAAAAATGTGGCCTTATCCTTCAGCCTTATGACCCCAATTCTAGTGTCCTGTGGTCATGCTTTCACACTCACTCTTTCTGCCACACTTCTCACAACTGCACTCCCACAGCTACAGCCCCCTCCCACCCTACACCACAGTCATCTCCGTGGCTTTTCCACATGTTATTCGGCATACGTGGCCCAGAAAATGCCTGGCAGTTCAAACAGGATCAAATACTACTCCAGACTGATGGTTTCCACTGACAGAGGCAGCCTTTGGTGCTACTATGAAGACCTCCCTCCCTGTTCCTTGCTTGAACCTCACTACCAAGAAAATTTATATTCTGAAATACCAGATTTCAGATACACATGGCTCTCCTCCACCTGTGTGCCACATGCATTTGACGTCCCCTCTCCAGTCACAGCTGTCCTCTCTCCATCTAACCCTCATTCAGCACTCAGCTCCAGTGGCCCCGTATGTCCTTATACCCTACCCCCAATTAGTCTCATAAATGACCACTTGTGCCCCTAAGCTAATCCACCAGCCTAACCTGAACACTTAGGCCCCACCATGGAATACAATGAAATCCTGGTGAGTCTGTAGAACAGAGAATAAGCACCAGCTTCCACCTCAGCGTCATCTTGTTTGAATTACTCCTATGCCCCCCCACATCCATCTCATGTCCACTAGTCCCCTGGAGCCCCTGGCCACATACCAAACCACACATTCTCCCCTACCTTCTCTATGATCACTTCTCTCCCTGATCTGTGTCGGGACACCCACATCCCACAACCAGGGAGCCAAGCAGGAAACCTAGTCCTCAGATCCACCCTCTTCTTCCTGGGCTACTATTACCATTATCCTGACCAGGATTCCCCATATTAAGTGATCCACAGCTCCTCCCTCGTCTACACACTCTCCACTACCTTTTGGAGAAGTCTACATCCCGAACTCTTCCTCAGAGTTCCAGAGGCCCACAAACTGTTCTCTGAAACATCTCCTACCCTTAATGGACCAAAAAGAAATCTTCTGATATCTCCAATGAAAATTACTCTATGAACTTCCCCATCTCAACTGATGGGAGCTTCCATCCTTCCAATTGCTAAAGCCAAACCTTCAAGTCACCCCTGACTCCCACCTCTCTCCACCTCAAAATTAGAAAACCCTGGAAGCCACACCTAAAACACTAATGCGGAGTCCAGCCACTTCTCCATGGCCACCACCCTGCTCCGGCTACCATCACACTCACCCAGACTATTACAGTAGCCTCCTCTCTTCTCTTCCTACCACCAACTTCACACTTTTACTCTTCTCCATGCTGCAGCCCCAGAGAGCCTGGTAAGACCTCGGTCAGATCACCTGCCTTTACTCCTCCAAACCTCCCATAACAGCCATCACCAGGGTGTCCAGACCTGACTCCTGCCCCAGTCCTCCCAGTTCCCACGAAAAAGAAAGGACACCTGCAGGCCCCTGAGCCCTCAAGCCTTTGCACGTCCTGTTACCTATGCTTGGGACCACCTTCCGCATCTCATGGGCTAAGTACCCAGCCCAGCCCAGGATCTGGTGACCTACAGAGGAACGCATTACGTCTGGGCTTCAGTCCTCAGTGCACTCCCGCTAGTTAGGTGATCTTTACAGAACTCAGCCTTCCGTGCCTATTATCACCCCTCTTCCCGTCCGCTCATCCTGTGAGCAGCTTCAGGAAACTTGTGAGAACCCGATTTCAGACACTGTCCCTCCCTGTTCCCAAGTCTCCCTGGCTTCCACCGTTCTGAGAATGAAGGTAAAACTCCTGAGGCACAACTTCGCCTCACACTCTCTGGTGCCTGTAGACACAAGACCCTGGGTTTCCCCAGTGCTCCCGGCTCAGTCGCACCTCAAGTCTTTGCACGAAGCTGTCCCACCCCGGGGCCCGCTCCCGCCCGCGGCCCCCGCCCGCCGGCGCCTCCCTGTGCCGGACACCGGGGCCTGGGCGCAGGGACGCGAGCCGGCGCCCCGCGCTCGGGACTTTAGGATGTGGGTCGGGGGAGGGCCCGGCGGACGAGCGCTTACCTGAGCCGGGTCCCTGGGCGCGGCCGCCGCCATAGGACTCGGTGGGCGGAGCAGGGCTGTGGGGCAGGGAGATCTTGAGCTCAGCCTGCTGCGGGCCACCCCGGGGTGCGCCGCCTCCAAGCCCTAGGACCGTCCCTTTGTAGCGGGGAGAACGCTTCTGCCGCCGACCGGGGGCTCCGAAACCTCAGAGTGAAGACTCCAGAAAAGCCAAAATGACCGCCACGAGGAGGACGCCGGAAGTCCCGCCCCGACCTGGTGCGTCCGCGTGGAAATGCTCCTGTCCTGGGCTTTCATTGGTCAACTCCGCCACCGTTAGGCACATTGCCATCTGGGTAATGTAGTTTCCTCAGCCGCACGGGTGGTTAGAGTGTCCTAGTCCTTGACCTCAGCGAATAAAGGTTTCGTGGTGCCACGAGTCTGAGAAATAAGAGTCATCTAGCCTTCAGGGAAAGGAAGCTGTTTACCCCTTCTGGAGAGTGTTGTCTGCAACTGATCCTTGTTAGAGACATTTCAGACTCCATGAAGCTCAAAATTGTCCCTTAAGCCAAAAGTATTTCAGTTATTCTCAAATGCTACAAATTTAAATGGACACAGTCTCTTTAATTTTTTTTTTTTAAGATGTTATTTATTTACTTAAAGAGAGGGACACAGCGAGAGAGGGAACACAACCAGGGGGAGTGGGAGAGGGAGAAGCAGGCTCCCGCTGAGCAGGAAGCCCGACCCGGGGCTCGATCCCAGGATGCTGGGATCATGATCTCAGCCGAAGGCAGACACTTAACGACTGAGCCACCCAGGCACCCCAGACACAGTCTCTTTCAGACTCAAAATGCATCCACTCTTAGCTAGAATGTGATAAACACTTTCTTGCTCTTCAAATGCATGTAGTCAGAAGCGTTAGTCGATTTTGTAACTCTGAATCTTTGGTCAGGGCCATGACTTGGAAGAAACAGTGATGTTCAGACCGCCCTGAAGTAAGAGGACAAGGAGTTATCTCTGCATCTGGTTCCCAAAGAGAACCTCTTTCCTGCCTGTATATTCAGTGATCATGTCCAAATCACAAAGCAACACTATTTATTCATTTGATATTTCTTCATATCTTAAGATATATTCAAATCCTTTAGAAATCTGACATCTATCTCAAACGGAGAACAACCTATTAAATTCTGTTTTGTTTTGTGATAGTGGCTACAGCGTTCTGAGGCAGAGTGCATGTACAAAAGAGTCATCTAAACACCACTGTCTCATCTCCTTGCTGAGGGATTATTGTTTCTTCAAGTGATTGCTGGGACTGTTGTGCCTGAGGAATTGATGATATAGCTGAAAAAAAATTGTGAAATGCAAATTTCAGAGAGCTATTAATAATGATTATGTAATTACTCAAAGATAGTGGTAGAAATAGCTCTGGGGAAATATCAGTGGAGGGTGAAAAAGGTAAGACATCAGATAATTTTTATCAGGACACACTTAAGTCTGAGAAGAAACAGTTAAGCTGGAGCGCCTGGATGACTCAGTAAAGCATGTGGCTCTTGATTTTGGTTTGTGAGTTTGAGCCCCATGTTGGACCTAGAGTTTACTAAAAAAAAAAAAAAGAGAGAGAGAGAGAGAGAGAGAGTTAAGCTGAGTCCAATCTTTTTTTTTTTTTAAAGATTTATTTATTTATTTATTTGTCAGAGAGAGAGCAGGGGGAGAAGGAGGCAGAGGGAGAAGAAGGCTCCCCACTGAGCAGAGAGCCCCATGTGGGACTCAATCCCAAGACCCTGAGATCATGACCTGAGCCCAAGGCAGACGCTTAACTGACTGAGCCACCCCGGCATCCCCAAGCTGAGTCCAATCTTGGCATTGTGATTCTTTTTAATCAATTTCATCCTAGTGGATTTGTAGTCTTTCTCATTGTAGTTTTAACTTATAATTTCATAATGACTAGTGTTCTATAACTTTTCTAGGCCTAATGACCATTAAAAATGTTCTTTAATGAAGATTTTGCTCAAATATGTTGTCTATTTTATTTTTTGTCTTTTTCTCATTGATTTCTATGATTTTTTAAAAAGATTTTTTATTTATTCATTTGAGAGAGAGCACAAGCAGGGGGAGAGGCAGACGGAGAGAGAGAAGCAGACTCCCGCTGAGCTGGGAGTCCAACGTGGGGCTCAATTCCAGGACCTGAGATCATGACCTGAGCGGAAGGCAGATGCTTAACCATCTGAGCCAGGCAGATGCCCTATGATTTCTTTTATATATGGTCCTTCAGTTAGATGTTCACAAATTTGTTTCTACCATTCTGTGTTACAATTTTTTTTAAAGATTTTATTTATTTATTTGACAGAGAGAGACACAGCAAGAGAGGGAACACAAGCAGGGGGAGTGGGAGAGGGAGAAGCAGGCTTCCTGCGGATCATGACCTGAACCAAAGGCAGACGCTTAACGACTGAGCCACTCAGGCGCCCCTATGTTACAATTTTTATTTTTTATTTTTATTTATTTATTTATTTTTATTTTTAAAAGATTTTATTTATTTATTTGACAGAGAGAGACACAGTGAGAGAGGGAACACAAGCAGGGGGAGTGGGAGAGGGAGAAGCAGGCTTCCTGTGGATCATGACCTGAGCCAAAGGCAGACGCTTAATGACTGAGCCACCCAGGTGCCCCCCCGTGTTACAATTTTTAATAAGCATCTTTTGAGTTATTCCAATGTTTTTAGGGTCATCTTTACTTTTACTAGAAATTCTTCAATACTCCAATGTCTTAGTTAATACTCCTTTTATTAAATTTTCCCAATTCAATTTAATGTGGAGGTTCTTTCTCCTGATTGATTCCTAACTAATAATGGATTAGTTCTGGCAGTAGTCCTAGTAGATAAACCCCTATGGATGGGATTTGGGAATTGACTTGACCAAGCCCTTGGGCTTGAATGAAGTGCTGAACACCTAGCCAGTAGGAAATGGGATGCTTATGACCCATGGTATGCATAGACAGCATAATGAATCCATTACCTAGGGTCGATTACGATGAAATGGCAACTGCAGCACATGCCTGGGACCAAGTGGGTGCTGCAATGAGTATTAAGGCAGTGATGGTGACTACAAGGAGTTTGGTCTGGGAGGGATTCGAATTCACATTATTGCTTACAAAGTGAAAATGGTAAGCTCAAGAACATTATCTCACAGCTGAAGTCTCCATATGAGAAAGAGAGATTCTATGATAGCCCTAAAAGAAACTCTGTAGCTGCAGGATTCCTATTGCTGAAAATCAAAGCATTAAATCTATAACTTGCTGAGTTCCAAGACTGTTGAATACACAATCTCACAATGTTTCTCATGTGAAAGGGTGTTGGTTGATAAAGGGGGATTCTGAATGCTGGAATGGGGGTCATCTGGTTGGATGCAAAGAAACTGACAATCTGGATTCTAAGTTAACTTGAGTCTCTCTTACCAGGTGTCTGAAGAGACTAGCCTTCTTCTGCTAATACCACCTGGGGCAGATGGCCTGTAAAGGAATGCTAATTCTCTACAAGACTCATCACAACAACCTAAAACTAGTAGCAACTCAGCATGATTCAGGGAAATAAGAGGAAATAATGGCTTGATAAAAAAGAGACCCCTCACAGACCCCAAACCTGCAACCCTCCTGACTGGGCTGCCCATTGCTTTGGGTCATGAAAACAGCACCTCCACAAGCTCAGCACAGCTACCAAGGTCTCCTTAAGATAAGATGAAGCTAAACCTGAGCTCTCTGGTGTCCACCTGCAGCGGGGGAGGTGTTCTCTGTCCTCAGTCCCTTGCCAGATGCCATGGTGCTGGAGAAGGTCACCTCTCTCTCAGACACCTTGGCTAGTCAGGGAGCCCCTTTGGATTAACTGAGCAAAAAGTAATGGGAGTTTGTAGATGTATGAAAGGCACTGCCAGCCATCATATATGGTGGAGCTCAGTGAAATGTTGCTGCTTTCCACCCCTAAGCTAGGATGTTCCTGAGTAAGAATAGGACCGGAAAACAAACAAACCAACCAACCTTGGCCAAATATCAGGTAGTCGTCTTAGGACTGGATACTCTGGTCAACAAATGATGCTATCTTACATATATTGTAAACTATTGGGCCATTACCTAAAAATTGTCCGTATCAGGGTAAAGAACTTTGGGACCATCTTACCTCACAGACACCCAAAATATAAATAAAAATCACCACATTACAAGACCTTCCAAGGACATTCCTTATTCTCTTGGGAGTTACAGACATGACTGACAGTACCTAATGCCACAGATTTTAACACAACCGGTTGAATGCCCATTTTCTAGGAATATGTCTCCTCCACAAAAAGTTACAAACTCAAGGGACACTGAGGAATTTCAGCTAACTCAGAATACCATAAAGGTAAGGAAAAGAAAGGAAAGGAGGGCTACAAATAGGATAATGAGGGACAGGATTTAGCAGGATTCGTTGAGGAAATATTAAGCTTATCATAAATTACCTAACGCCAGAGTTCCTAAGTGGACCCTGCAATACTGTTTATACAGAGGACAAAAAAGAAATAAAATTCTGGCTCACTAATGGCCCTCTTTCTATACTTGTTATGAACAGGCTTCCTAATGCAATTTAGACTCCAAGTTGACTACCTGAAAGATTATTTAGGTAGGGTATCTTAGGTAGATCCATCAGTTGCTAGAATGTCAGCTATACTCTGTGTTTTCAAGTATGTGAAATACAAATTAAAGATAAGAGGCTTAATTCTCCCTGTTGAAAATGGGGAGAGACACTCCCCCTCCATTCTGTCACAGCATTTAGCGTAGAGAACTTGCAAACACTTCCTTATCTCTTTAAAGCATCTCTTTAAAGACTATACAGGCCTTTTGCCAGTTGGGCTTCTTTTTCCCCCAGATTCAGGACCCAGGATTGTCTTTCATCAACAAATGGGAGCTGATTTTTTTAAGATGAAAGATCTTGGGTGCCTAGTTGGCTCAGTGGGTAGAGTGTGCGACTCTTGATCTTGAGGTCATGAGTGTTTGCCCGACGTTGGGTGTGGAGCCTACTTTAAAAAAATGGAAAGATCTTGAGAGCCATCATTTTGAAATGCAGACATCAAGGGAGATAGCAGGTTTATCTTTCAGGTCCTATGGGA